GATGAGTCTGGAAAAGTCAACAATATGAAATGGACAAATAAAGAAGGCAGAGATAGAAATGTCTGAGTCTTTGTTTTCTTTTAGCATTACAGGTATCACTAGCTACAAAATGGTAGTTTTGTTCCTAAGGTGATTAGTTTATTTCAAACATAGGTATTATGCAGTTATGAATAGCTTGTTAAGTAAAAACAGACAAGTCGGAAAAGTAATTTCAAAATGTAATAAACTTACTATGCTTTTAAAAGCACTTAAAGCTCTGTTTTTGAATATGCATCAAAACATTAAAAAATCCCCACATGATCTGCTTGCAGCTTCCTCATCTTCCTTTGGATGATACCCCTGTATTTCTTCTTGAGTTTTAAAATATTTCTGCAGTTTTAAATGTCTATTTGTTGGATATGGGCTGTATTTTCTAAAGATACAGATAAGTAATAGTGATTTGTTTCCTTGGGGGTACAATTAATGCTAAATATCTAAAAAACGTTTCTTGGAATCAGTGTAGAATAGATGCAGTTCAGCTCCATAAACCTGCAATATTAACATAATGCCAAATATTTCAGTTTAATCAAGGTCATGTTGGGTGCATTAAAGCTAGCATGATGGATGCATACTTCTTTTTGATAAAGGATATACAGATGGACTATTTTCTGGTTATTGCATTTGCATAAGTCTACTGGAGTGGACTAGTAAAACTGGAACTTCAGTTATTTAAGTCGGGTAGAATGCCCGCACACACCACCATGATTATTGCTTTAATTCTAAAATTAATAAATCTTGTAATAGGTTTTTAGTCCTTCAGGAAATGTTTTCAAGGTTTGACATCATTGTTCTTGCAGCTAAACACGTGGTTGAGCTGTTTGAAAATAGATCTGATAAAAAGCAGGACTAGGTGATTTTTCCCCCCCCCCCCACTAAATAGTCACTTTATATCTTTTAGTGTTTTATTTGCTTTTTCTACCTTTGAATCTACTGCTTAAAGAATGAGTAAGATACTGATTAAAAAGTGTAACATACAGTATGCAAGATTCGGTGAGTTTTGTGTTAATTAAGACAGGCTTTTAGAGAAACATATTTGTCAGACCATTAATTGAGTACAGTGAATTAAGGAAAGATGCTTTCTAAACTTGAATTCACACTTGCTTTACTTGTTTTGATTCATAATTATCTGTGGTTATCTGGATTGCTGAGCAGTCAGGAATTTGAATCATAAAAATAACCTTAGAATTAGAGGACTTCACAAGAAAAAACATTTACAGATAGCAAAGTTGCTGTACTTCTTTTTTGTGTGTGTGTGTGTGTCAAAGATTAAGGTAAATGGATAATGATGTGTCTATTAAATCTTTAAAAAGGGATTAATAATCCCAGGGACTATGGGAAAGGTTTAACAGATTATTGGAGAAAGCCATAGGGGATCCGATATATGCAGCTGTATATAGTAATTTATATAACATTTTTTAATAAATGATGAAATGCCATGAATCATCTTTTTTAGGCAGAGCTTGTTTTTGTCAACCCAAAGAAGAAAGATAAATTACTTGAATTTTAGTAATTTTAAATACTTACCTTACTGTTTGCATAGCTGTTCTGTCTAAGTTTAGACTAGAATTAATGAAAACATGAATAATTGGCTAGTATTCAAGGTTTAATAAAGTTAAGTTCAAAGCATGTGTTAAGAATAGGGAAGAAAACTTTTGTGTATGGTGCAAATTGAAGTCAAAGTCTATCTCAAACATACATACCCTGAAATTTCATTGTAGCCAGTATGGTGTTTGTCAGTGCAGAACCCAAGTGATTACTGAAATATAATTACCCTTGTGGAGGGATCTGGTTGCAGGGGGAAGTCTCTCCTAAGATAGTGCCTTAATACTTCAACAGTATTAAAGTAGGATGCTTTATAAAGTATATGTGAGAGCAGTTATATCTAATGCACTTAAAACTGTAATTGAATAAAAAATGACTGCATAAGACTATTTTGAGAAGTCTTTACTGTTGTGTAACAGTGAATTATAAAATTTTGCGTTTCAGTATTCTAGCATATTTTTTTCCCCTTGTTTTCCAAGCAATACACTTTTTACAATGTTTGAAGAATTGTTCTATTGCTACTGTAGTAGCTTCAGAGGATAACCTTTCCCAGAAGTTAAGCATCTAGGGCAGCAATAGCAATATTGCTGTTCATGTTCTACTTCAGTAGTCAGAAAGGTTTTTTGTTGCTTTCAACTTCTGCTAATTAAATCAAGATTTTTCTCATAAGATAATGATTTATACCTTGTGGTCCAAAATGTGAAATTTAGACCTTTAATCATTCCCTCAGTCAAAATAATGTATTTAAAAAAACTGTAGGATTTTTTGGTGCAAGTAGACAATTGATGGTATAAGACATTATTTTATTGAGAACCATTAGCTACTTAAAACTTCCTACATAAATTAAAGAGGAGCTAAGTGGTTTTGCAGTTGTTGCCGTTAGTAGCATTTTAGATTATACAGGCAATTATTGTGTTCATTATCATAGAGCAGCCCCTTTCCAAAACTATTGTGGTTGTCTTAGATGTATGCACAAATTTCCCCTTGGAGATTAAAATTTCCAGTGGTGTATTTAATTCTGTTAACACTGTTGTTTCAAATAGAACAACCATTAGGACAAGTAGAAGAAAATTTGCTCTTCTAATATTAGAAATAGCAATAAATGTGGAAAATTACTCCAGTTGTTAAGTCATCTATTTCTTATATTGTCATAGTTTTTCTGGTTATGATTATTTTCAGAAGGAAAGAAATCACTTTCTTAAGATAGTATATTTATATAAATGTTTTGATAAAATCAACGTAATTAATATTACACACTTTTCCAGTATTCAGATGTATTTTAGAGAATGTTAGTAAATTTCTACATGAAATGTATATGGATAATTCAACAGTGTTTAATTAGTTGGAGTGCAGAAGTTGTTTAAGTGGGAAAGTACAGAATTAAACTAAGCATATTTAAAATCAGCTACATTATAGTCGCTAATTTTTGAGAAATGGAGAATGCATTTCTATTAAAACTTTGTGTGTGCCTTCTTAGGTAAGATTTTGCAATTGTCTTCACTTGCCATAGTAAATGAAAATACGAAAATTGACAATGGCTAATAGTATGATCTATATTAAAAAGTATGACATTGTTAGTAACAAACCAAATGTTCTTGAGCAAGAGATGTATTGTGTGAAAATTTTTCATCAGCAACTTTCTTTATTCTCTTAATATATCTCCAAACACATTTTTGTTGGATTCCAAACTTACATTCACATCTGTCTTCATCAATTAGAAAGGTATTAATGCTTTGAATTAGCTACCATCAGTGTGCAGTGGACTAAATTTAATGTTTCTCTCCAAAAAGTGGCATTCTTTCCAAAGAAGCTCTTTATTCATTTCTGTTCTGGGGTGGGTGTTTTTTTTTTGGGGGGGGGGGACACCAAAGAGGGAGCAGAGGGAGAGATAGGCTTTCACTACCATGATGCAGGGAAAAAAAGTGTGAGGTAGTGGTTATGCATATTGCAAGACAGTGATTCTTTATTTTATTACAAAAAAAGACCAACTCTAGAAGGCCAGATTAAATCATTCCTTTCACTTTTTAATGGGATTTGGATGAATAGAGTAAAATATGCACTTTGCATTCATTGATAGCATCTTTAGGTTGAGGTAATTGAGTCTTTTTTCCCTGACTGAATGAATAATGACTTCATCTGATCCTCAGCGAGGCCTGAAACTTAGGCTGCCTTTGTCAACGCAAAAAGATCTGGGCTTTGAAACATGCTCTACTTCCCTGGCTTCATTTTTCTTCATTTTAATCCAAAACCCTATTTTTCTCAATAATTCAAGCATAAACTATGTAGTAGTTGAAGCAGCGGAAATTGCAAGATATTTGTCCTCGTTGTGCTGCTTTCTAAATGCAGCTGATAAATCAGCTGCTGTGGTCTTCAGCTGCCTGGTTCTCTAGGGAAGGGGCAGCCCATGTATAAGCAAGATTGCTGGAATTTTTAAGAACTATATTTAAAGTGGTTCTTTTGCAGACTGTTATCTAAGGAAGTGTTATGTTTTACTGGTCTTACTGACAAGACTTGGAGATAAAAGGGGCATCTGTGATGGGGTCTAGGAAACCCTGACATAATTTTCCCACATATTTTACTGACTACAAGAGCATCCCAAAAAGTAGAGTATAAATACTAAGCTTAGAGCATACATTATTGAAATGGTGAGAGTCTTAGTTACATAGCTTAAAAATATTTTTTCATGAGAAACAGTGGATGAAAGATAGCCTCTCTTAATGTTTTTACTAAAATGTTTCTAAACATTTTTTACTTCTGAAGAGTTGAAGCTGTTTTTACTCCTTTGGTTTGAAAATGGACATTTCACTTGATTGTTGTTTTTTATCATTATATAGAATAACTGAAACCTTCATGCAATTAAAAATTATTTCTATTAAATTAGTTCAGTTTTACAGATAGGTATTGGAGAATAGGACAAGTCACATGAATGAGAAGGTAGCTCTGCTGTATTTGTCCATTGATTCTTGAATCTAACAGGTTTTTGATCTTCTGGCAGTAAATAAGCAGTAGCTACCCCAGAGATATAATATGCAGTGCCAGTATTTTTGCTGCATGCATGACACATTGTTCCTGCTCATTTTTTCCTCTCCAGCTGTCTTTTCTTCTTACCCTCCTGTGTTACTATCCTGGATCAAGGGATAGGGGAGATATGTGTTGGATGTAAAGGCATTCGAAAGGCCTGGCTGGTACAGTTCACACTGATTCTGGGAACTGTTACTGTCCTGTAACCAGGAAACATCTATTGCATGCAAGCACAGGAACAATAATAATTCAGTTATTAAAATGCAGTTAATTGCTACAAGTGCATGAATTTTTAATAGGAAAAAAATACCCCAATAATAGCTACTTGTTTGCCCTGCAGACATGTCAGTTTAAGAAAAACTCATGACTAATAACTTGATTTATACTTCTTATTCTAGGTTGGCCTGCTGGACTTGGAGTTGAATCAACTGACCAAAGCCCTGTTTTTGGCTTTAGTTGCACTATCAGTTGTTATGGTAACCTTGCAAGGATTTGTAGGCCCATGGTATCGCAACCTTTTCCGGTTCCTCCTCCTGTTTTCCTATATCATCCCGATCAGGTACGTATAAGAATGAAAGAAGAACACAGATGTCTAATTTCACTGAATGTGGCTTTCTTGAAATTTATACTTGCTTCTCATTGCAAAGGAAATTGATCTTATCAGGAAGCTGAAGGAGAAGGTGCCAACAAATCTGCTGATTCTTGGAGGATCACTGTACAGAAAACAATACTGTTGTATTTTTTTTGTATAATGTTCATCTTGCTGGAGTAATCAGGATATCTAATCCTTTACTAGCATAAATGTATTAATAAGGATACAATCTTGGTATATTTGAGAACATGGGCTTAGGAAACATGTATTTGAATGAACTCTTCAATATATTTTGAAATTTTATTTTTAATGCCTTAAATACTGAAAATGTTCCATTTCTCTGGTTAAAATACAGACTTTTTATTACAACAATGATTAATTTAAACTGAATGACTGAATAATGTAGGTGCGCTTTTACAATGAGAGGACTTTTAGGATGTGTAACCAAGTAGAGCTTTGCCCTGAATTAATTAATTCATTAAGCATGAGTCCTGTATATTCAAATTGCAGATAAACTGGAACAGGAAATAATATCCATGTGTGTAATCAAGTCTTCTGTAGACACAGAAGTGAGAACACTGACCCTGAAATGAATTTTTTTTTTCCTGGAATGGGTATTGCCTTTGCAAAATGGAAATACTCTCCCCTGTTAAAATACCCAGTATTTAAAGTGATAGTTAATTTTAGATGCTCTCTGGAACTCTTCTTAGTGAATGAGTTATCTCAAACTGAACAGTGGCTAGCCACAGAGTTAGCAGTGACTAAACTGTCAGTAGATTTAAGATCTGTGCCCTCATAGATCAAGTTTGCACACAGTATTTAAATCCTTGTAGTATAAGGGGGAAAAAAATAAAAGAGGATTTCATTAAGAATTTTAATCTAAGCTTACATGACTTATGTGCTACTGTGGACACATTTTTTTAAGTACATGTCTGTGTGAAAGAAACTGTGTCATGTCATATTTGACCAGTATGATCCTCGGGAAGTATCTGTCTTAAGGTTTTAGAACTTAAAGGACTTGTATTTTTATGCTTCTTTTGTGAAGCAAGAGGAACTTTGGTAGTAGAGGGAGAAGGTTCTAGCAAATATGCTGGAGGGTAGAGATACCTTTGTAAAAACTGGTCACTTTAGAACAGTTTCCGCTTCCTTTACCTGGCTCTTGTTTTTTATTTACGCTTTTGTGTTTCAGTTTTGTGATATCTTTCTAAACAATCAATATCATAACTCCCTTACTGCTTGTGTAATGTTGTTGTTTAGGACATGTCGTTGTTCCCCCCATACACACAGTTATTGAGTATTAAGCAACTTATCCATGTGAAGAGGCAAAAGTGCTGTATTCAAGTGATAGTCAAGTCTGCATGTCACTGAAAGATGCGCTTAATTATCAAAGACACGTAGGGGAAGGGCAAAAATGAACTAAGAGTGTAAAGGATCACTTGTTGATCACTGTTCTGCTATAATAAAGAGTTTAAGCCAAAACTTAAATCTGTCTTTTAACCACTGTAATATCTTTGTTACTGAATTCAAGAGGATTAAGAGCATATAGGCGGTGTAAGTAAATTTGACTCTGTTTTGGAAGTTCAGCATATGCCACTGAGAAACATGCTGATTGATTAGGTTGTTTTCAAATTAAGAGTTCTTTAGTGGACTTGTGGAATAGTTCTTTTCAAAAAATAATTTCTAAAACACAGCTAATCCCATTTTTCAGTTGCTTGTGGGAGATAACATACAAAGCAAAAGTATTCAGGATGTGATTGGCTTAGTTCTGAGATGGACTATATAGTACTCTATGAAGATCGGACAGGAATCTATCAGAGAATGTGTCGTGGTTTAAGCACTGAACCCAGGACAAAATGCTTTTCTCTGTAGAGGTTTATCTATTTCTATACCACCTTTTCTTCAAGTCAGCTTATTCGTATACAGGGTTGCTTCCCACACCTTCAGCAAAACGAACAACTTCAGTCATGCCAGAGTTGTTCAAATATAACTACACTTCTCTTCCTTTTTCTGGATGTTAAGCATGGAAATTACTTGTTCTTTAGTCTGTATTTGGGGTGTAAACTTGTGAAGACGAAAATGATGAGGCTAATGACACTGAAGTACCAGGTGTTGTGTCTTCTCATGATTTTTAAAATAGCTATATTGGGGAAATAATGAATTTTTACAGGTAAAGGAAATGAACATGGGAGAATCCGATTCACAGGATTGACTGGTAGAGGCAAAGAATATCTGAACTCATGCCTTCCTTCAGAGTTAATCTATTTGCATTTCTTAAAATTGATTGGGAAAGGAGGATAGAAAGCGAGTCCTTGACAGACTGTCCAAAACTAAATAAATCTCCCCAGTATTATGCTTACCCACTCTCTGAATTCCTTGGTATTCCTAGTAATTTTTCTATTTGGCTGTTAGGTAGTGAGCCATTCTGCCAAAATAAACTGATCCAAACATCTGGAAGGAACTGCCTTGCACTTAAGTAGTTTAAATTTTGGGGTATTACCTGGCTCCTGGCTGCTTTTTTCTGGGTCTTTAAGAGGAGCATTTAAAGAAAATGCTTCAAGTTATGTCAGTCTGTTTTTCAGTGGGCAGTGAAGAAAACACTGCAAGGAAGTTTTGTATCTGAAATTCATTAATATCCAATCAAATCTGGGATTATACAAGTAGGAATTATTGTGTATTCCCAAGATCCAGGGAACTTGCACCTCTGCAGAATTGTAGTGTCTTCCAGCAGCAAGCAGTTATGCTGCCTTAAATCACATTGTAGTTTGTGCTGTGTTGGAGCTCTAACTTGTGTAACATATAGATGTGTTACATATACAGTATCAGTATATGTAGTCTCATATACACAGACAGAATATATGTTAGATATATGATGGAAGTCTTCCAGTGCAGAAGAGCTAAAGAGCTACTCCTAAAGTAGTTTAAGCAATCCTTTAAAATGTGCATTATACTTCTATACCATACCATGAAACATAATGAAAGCTATATAGAGACTAAAAAATATTATATGAAGCTTTTTGATTTGTTTCTTGACCAATAATTTTAAAACTGTTCAATATTATTTTCTAGTTAATGTGTAAAGTGTGTAATGTGTAGTTATGGCTGTTTCAAGCAGGTAGGGATATAGGAAGGTTAGGGGCATAACCACAGGGGATTGAGTACAGTTTTGGTTACTAACATGACCCATATATCTTCACTATTTCACTCAGAAAGAAGTCCTGAAAATATAAAGACTATATCTGAATTACTTCATTTACTGTGAACATTGGATACCACTGTGGGTACTCGTACTGTATCTGGAGTTTCGGCAGGGCTTTGTTTTTTGCTACAGACCTTCTGCTTATATATAGAACTGCTTAGGATGTTCGAATAAAACTCATACTATTTTGATTGAAATTCATACTTGAATTTCATTTGCCATAGTATCACTTTGTTCACAAAATCATCTATGCTAAGTTCTTTAGGTCTTGATTGTGTTTCACTGGGTCATGAAAGGCAGAATGTTTTTGGAGTTTCTAAATGTATGGGTCAGACTCTCTCAGTGAAGGCCTTTGGTTATTGGCAACTTTGTCCATTTTGACTAAAAATCAGAAATCTTTACATGGAGACCCAATTGCCATTAGGGAAAAAATAAATTTAGAAGTCCTGTAAATATTAATTTCTTCAAGCTAAAACACTACCGATGTTTTTGAGGGAATAAAACCAAAAATATCCGTTCTTGTAGTAAAAAGCAGCGTGGATTCTGAAATGTTGTGTTAATGATTCTTTTTTTTTTTTTTTTTTTTTTCCCCCCCAATTCTTCTCCCCGCCCCCCCAAACTAAATTGCAGAGAAAATTCACCCTGGCTCTTAATCTCTTAGTGGAATAAATCCCCAAGGTGGATAATAGTTGCGTAGGGTTTGCCTCCTCTAGAACTAGCGCTGAGGTTGAGACACAAGAAACTTCACATTATGATGTTCATTAAATATGCCTGTTCTCTGTAACAGTCTTCAAATACCATTATTAACATACTGTGTCTAAAGACTGCATGTTAATTGGTTTGCTAAAAAATCAGTTACTGATGCAAGCAACAGTATGCTAATGCTACGTATGATGTAGTTCTGTGCATTTTCATTAATTACTGGTATATATGGAGTCTTAAATTGAATGAAATTGAGAAGGATTTAAAAACTGGTAAATTTAAAATGGTTTTGGTTTTCTTGAAGTCCACAAAGGATTTATGAGAAATGATAGCTAATATTGTCAGGCACTGAAAGTAAGGTTAAGTATCTCCTTGGTTTATCATATGAAAATTCTTGGACTTTTCAGTCAAGTATTTCTATCCATTCCTGTGAAGGTCTGTGGGAGAGATTTGAAAGCAAATACAGATTTATCCTCACTGCTCAGCAACAGAAGCTGTCTTACCTTGAAACTGTATTTAGGTGAGATTATAATTAAATTAATATAGAGAGTATTTAGAACATCAAAACAAGATAATACACATGCTATAAAAGATGGAAGTGAAGACATGTACTTCAAGTTTGAGAGGTTTTTTTCTCATTTAGTCTTACTGAAGTACAGTTCTTCCTATCTGGAAGACTTTGTGTAGCCTCCGTTGGTAGAGCAGCCATGTCGATTTCTCTCTTTGTAGAGAGGCTCCGGTACCTGAGATGGCAGCTCTTAAATAGAGCTTTCTTTGTAGAATTCCTGTCTTGGTAGCCAGGGAGAAAAAAATACAGCCTAAATGCCTCTTTGAAGTGGGGTGATGAGTGGCTTTCCTCCTTCACTTACTCTACTTAGTCCTGTATAGAGCAAATGTCTAGCTGTTCTTAAATAACTTAAGTGTGCTTGTGTTTCTCTTCTTGAGCTAAGACAGCATCTTTTGTACTTCACTAGCTAAAAAGTAGGTTTCAGGTTTTAATCTCTAATAGGACTAAATCTTTTGCTATTCCTTCTGTTGACAAATACACATCTCGGTGTGAAGTGTATTATATTGGTCCTTCTAGTATCTCTAAATTTGCAAGTTAACAGATATATGTAATATAAATACTGGTTGCTCAGCACTGGTTCTGGATTAAGTAAAAGTGTAAACCTGCAGTTGCTGTGAGGCAAGTGACTTCCAGTATTTTTCTCCTTGTTAATACTGTAGCACTTTCAATAAAAAGAATCTGGTAGAGTCCTTCTCCTGCTGTTTGTCCTAATGTTTTTTTATATATATTTGCATGTCTGAAGACAGCTGAAGTTAGGTATGATATTGCAGAACTAATTGGGATGGACCACCAGGTAGGAGGGTATTTTTCTGATGGTGACTCTAGTTAAAGAATGAAATACCATCTTGAGTGCTCAAGAGTCTTGTATCTTTTAAGGCTTTGTTTTTTTTGTTCTGCAACATGTGCTGTCATCTTCTGCACAAGTTCACAAAGGAGAGGGTGTGGAATAAACTGGGTTTTTTTCAGTGTGTGTTGAAAGTTCGGATGTTCTCAGAATTCTAGTTAAATGCATCTATGGGATATTGCAGTTTGTGGCTGTTTCGTCCACTGTGACCTCAGGTTATTCACTGTCAATCTGTCCCTGTGATTGTAAGAGGACAGGTAAAAATCGTTTGTGGCTGCTGTTTTGGTTACACTGTAAAGCACCACTTCAGGACTGTTAAAAAGTCTGAAGTGCATTAGCAGTGTTTTGACCTTGATACATACCTTTGAACAGTTTTAAGAGCCACTTACTGTAAACCTGTTACTAAACATGGGACTCTTGAGTCCTGTGCCCTAGGCAAATAGCTACAAGTAGTTCACATAGCCACTGTCCTAGCTGTTTTTTCAGCCAGAGTCAACGGAAGTGAACAGATGCCTATTCCTTAGTCACTGTTCCTCTGACATGGTAACAGGAATGCAGGGAATAGCTAAGGGAAAGTTGCATTTCGAAGTTTTAGAACAAGGTGACATAGAGTTTTGAGTTGAAGAATTTAATTTTGGGGAAGAGCAATGTGATCAAAGTTATCTCTGACCAGTATGAGTAAAAACTTTTTTTATTATAACATAGGGATACAAGGTGCAAGGTGTATGACATAGATATGGAAATAAATATGCAGACACCAAGTGAACTGAAGACAAAATACTTTCAATTTTACACTTTTATGTATAAGTAAGACTTGCTGCAAATTACAATTTCTAGTACAGAGCTACCCAAAGGTTCCTTATTGCTGCTGACAGTAGCAACTTCAGCCCACATGCTATCACATGAGGGTCCATTTTGCTGCTTGGTCACTGTTCTCTTTGCAATTAAGAGCTTCTGTAACTGCACTTTGGGAAGGACAGCAACATTATTGATTGGTCATGGTGTGAAAGAGAAGTTGACAAATATAGTTGTACTTCCCTAAAGAAAAAATCATTTTTTTAAAAGCAGTGACTTGAAGATGTACAAAAATATTTGTACTTTAACATAATACAGTATCCCCAACACCTATAGTTTTTTTAACAGATAAAAAATGTGACTTGACAGCAATCTAGTCTTGTCAGTAAAGTGTATATAATGCTCTCATCTGTATAATTGTAGTAATTATGTCAAGAATCTCCACAAAATGTTGCAGTCTGTCTCATGCAGAAGGCATGATACTGCATTTTGTTTGTATTTCAGGAGTTCTGAAAGTCTTGGATAGAGCCTGAATTTCTATTGTGCTGTGTACTTTACAAACACATAACAAAAGTATTGTTCCAAAATTTTTGTTGTGTATAGTTTTAAGATTCCCCCACCCACCCCGGTATCCTGGAAAGAGCTTTTAGTTGTATTTTTCATGGTTATGATTTTGCTTTGCCTGATATTCATACTGATAAATTTCCTCTGCAGTTTACGTGTGAATTTGGACATGGGTAAGGCAGCCTATGGGTGGATGATTATGAAAGATGACAATATTCCTGGAACAGTTGTTCGAACTAGCACCATACCAGAAGAACTGGGACGATTAGTTTATTTACTAACGGATAAAACAGGTATGCCAGGTTAACATTCTGAAATATGATGACTTTTATAAATTTCCAAACTTTATGCTATATTTGAATATGTTAATGTAAGGGTAGATTTAGACTACTGATTTTATTTTTCAGTATAATTTTTAGAGTGTGCATGAGGACTTTATACCATTATCAACAGGCTTAGGCAGGCCTGTACTTGCATATGAGAATCAGTATTTGGCAATAATCTGATTTATTCTGTTAGGAACACTCCTGTTATAGTAACAAGACACTGTTAATATTAATTAAGAGAGTATTAATAAGAGAACCATATATCTTACTCTGAAAAGACTCTGGATTAGCACCCGGGATGCTGTTTTATTCTGCACCTCATTTCTACCTCAATATTGTATGACAGCAACAGTTAAGAATGGCCTTCAAGAGAGCAAATAATTTCCAAAACAAGTGATAAGATCAGCCTTCAAAATTATATGTCATCCCCATGAAGTTAGTTGTTAGTTTATGTTACAAAGACTGGTTTTAGAGCTGCTGTATGATTTCATCTTCATAACTAATCTGTTACTGTACCTGACTGGTATACTGGAAAACTCAATCGTTACCAGGATCAGAAGGTAAGTGTGTGAAGAAGTAACAGCTTGCACTATGCTGCTGTCCGCCATTATGACTGAAGTTTGTTACAGTCTTACCATGCTCTTAGTTCTAGATGTATTTAAGGAATCTTAAAGTTTATTTCAGAAAACATTATAATAAATAACAAATTAAATGCTGTAGAAAGTACCGTATTTCTTCTCCTTTCTTGGTTCTTTCTGACATTGAATAAATCAGCTGTGGTAGACATACTGTTTTTTTAAGAAGCTGAACATCTGAACAGAGAAAGTTGTTTTTCGAATAACTGAAGAACTCTTCTAGTGGTTTTAAGTAAAATACAGTTCAGTATGGTGAGAAAGCGTTTGAGGAGGAGTTAGCCTCTGTTACACTGCTCAGGGAGCTTAGTACACAGTTTACATCTCTTTCTGCTTGAAATAGTTTGACATTCCCTCACATGGTGAACACTTTCATTATTGCATATTATGAAATAAAATGTAAATATAGTGTATCGTCACATTTGCAGAACGCACTTTTTTTTTTCCATAGCTACATATTTTACCCTATACACTTCTGAATATGTTCTATTTTGTAAAAGATAAAAGACAACTGCCACCTTCTTTCTTAGGATGTAGAAAAGTGTATTGCTAATTATAGTGTGGTAATTCTTCAAAGCAAGTGAACAATTCTTCTTTTAACAAGTTTTATTTCAGATAGCTAATGATTTGTATGCTGTTTGAAGCTGCTTACTGATTTTAATTGCACCCTTCATCATGATAATTTATGTAACTTTAAGAGTGCTGTCGCATTGGAAGCTTGAAATATGTAATTTACTGCATATGTTTGGAAAAGGGGAAGTATGTTCAAAAACAATGAATTTTCAAAACGATGCAGAAGAGTTCATTCACCCAGAGCACTACTTTGTAAGCAAAACCAATAGGTACTTCTTAAACCTTTACGATAGAGAATCTGGTTACCATACAAAACTGGAAAAGTGGTTTGAGTATTGCAGTATTCTGCTTAACAGTTAGTCTGCACTGAAAATTTTAAGAGGCTTGCTAAATAAAATGCTAACAGAGTTCATTCACACAACTCTACAATACAGGAGTTACATTCTGATTCTGGTGACTAGCTTATGGTCAGAGGCACAAGGATTAGTGTACTATCTTCATTTCCTCAAGCTGTATGTATCTACTACCCTGTATAAGAAATAGAAAATTGTTAGAAAAAGAAGAAAAATAGAAAGCCGCTGCAGTTCTACTTCTAGAAAGGCAACTGATACACTTAACCTAGTACAATAATAATTAAAAACAAAGTTTTTCTCCTTAAGAAACGTATTTTCTGTCAACATAGAGTTTAGCGATACTGGATTTTCAAAGCAAAAATACCATTACATCTATAAAGCTTTGAAAGGATTCATTTTATTGACTTGCATATACGTAGAGAAACCCTGTTTTGCTTCTAATCATTGTTTTTGTTTGTTTACTTTTCAACCCACATCATGCCACTTGTAATCATAGTAGTTCTGTTTAAGAAGCAGCACTTATATTCTGGCCTTTCAGAGTGCATACTTAAAAGGGCCTAAATAGACATATGTTAAAACGCTTTTACCAGAAAATACGTTTATGTACAGTTTGGATGATTGCTAGCATTCACACTCAAAGACTTTTCAGAGCACTGAAGCCTGCTGAGTTCTGGAGGAAGGTCTGAGTCTGTAAGTTAATGATGTAAAAATGAAAATAAAAAGAATATTCTAGGGCAATAACTCCAAAATGTCTTGGACTAACTAACAGTCAGAAGTCTCACTCTATGCACTTTTATCCAAGTGTCAGCTGAAAGCTGATTTAAGTGAAAATAAGCCTGGAGTTCAGCAGACATCACCAGCTCCAGAACACTGACCAGGGCTTTGCAGACCACACTTTTCTTCAGATCATGATGGGAAACACTGTTCAATTGCAAAGGTCTTAAATGACCTGCAGATTTTAAACTGTGTTTAATTCTGAACAAATGTGTACCCAATGTGCTTTTTACCCGAGTATTATCAGTTTACAGCTTACAGTTTTCACTCCTGAATACATTTGTCTCATTCTGCATTTTATCACAAATGTGAAACACACTGTTAGGTGATGAACAAAATCTGTACAATTAATCCATGATAGCCATTGCATGATTATACACAGTTCATGAGAGCTAGCTTCAGTACTTTTTCACTTGAATTTTCAGTTCTAGTCACATAAACCAGTTGCTTCTTTTCTGCCCACTTAAGGCTTTGCTCTCAGCACAGTAAGCAGAGAGCCAGTTTCATAGCGATCAGTCCAAATGGGTGCCACTAAAAAGCAGGACTAAAAGGCTGGTCTAGTTAAATTTAAGCAGGTGAAGTTTTTCTCAGTATTGAAAATTAAAGGGAATCCAGAGAACTGTCTGCAAAAATCTTATATTGTGGTCCAAGCTTCACTGGAAATGATTGAGAATTAGTTGTTGAGTCTAAGGAGCATTGCATTACTAACATAATTGCAAGGTAGTCCTTTGTATGATTGTAAATTGGGTTTGTGCTTCATCAATAAGCTTTTTGACAAGAAGCGTCCATCACAGTGGCTCTCTCATTTGCCACAGTATAATAGAAAATGAAGTATCCCAATAATTGCATTATAGTTTCCTTATTGTGGGACAAGAAAGCAATGTGGTATAATTAGGTTTGATTGGAGTGCATGTTTCCGGTAAGATCTGAAATTAATGATGTTGCTATAGTGACACATCTGCGGCCACCAGTGCGTGAAACATAAAGTAATTCATTCGACAAGAGAAGACATCTGTTAACTGCAAGGATGCAGAGCATATTGACACTGACCAGAAATACTAGACGTTATGTGATAAATGAACAAATGATGCTGAAACAGGAGGACAGATAATTTGTACTTAATCTGCTGGGAGAACTTTAATCTTCTCACTGGTTGCATTTGACAATGCCATTGTTTAAAGAACAATGCTGCAGAGAACTCATAAATTTTAAAACTTAACTCAGGGTGCAGCCTATTAAAGCAATACATTAATTCCTTTGTTAGGGAGTTTTTATCTTCATGTAGAACAAAGCCATTACTAAAAACACCCACTAAAACAACAGGTTTTTTAGGACTCACATTTTAATTATAGCATTCATTACCCAAAATGCCATGTTGTTTGGACTTGAATCATATATAAGTTTGACAGAAAGGCGTCATCCGTTATGGCGGCGTGGGGACTGTTTCAGGGGGAAGCAGTTTCCAGCATTTTCCAGGGGCAGCTGAGCATGATATCTCATCCTTTCCAGGGTACTAGAAGATTCTAATCAGGAAAGAAAAATAAAAGTATTTGGCAATACTTTTTTCACAATTTTGTTGTTTAGGTTGTGGGATGGCAGACCTGCCACTGTTCATGACAACTACCAGAGTGTTCAGCTGAAACAAACGCATATAGTCTTCCAAAGCATAGTTACTTACTAATGCGTGCACTTGTATTTGAGTTCTGTAATTAACATTTTAGCGGGTGTTTTGACCAAATGAGACACTTAACAGATATAATAGTTGAACAGATGCATAGAGCAATGAGATTCTTTATTTTTCTAGGAAAGACTTGTGTTTAGAGGTTGATGTACATGGGCTTTTTCATTAAATGTACTGTTAAGATAGTGAATTCCAGTAATTGTTCTGAAAATTAATCTTTTAAGGTATGCTTTAACTGAGTCTTTATATGTTCAATATGAGTTACCATAGAGAGTCATTAAAAAAAATGCTGATGGAATACCATCTCCTCACTTCACTTTGATGGATATATGTTTACGTTACTGCCCTTACGCTTCCTCTACTTCTGTGATTTTTGGTACCACTAAGGTTGCAGGGTGAGCAGAGCTCACTAGCAATGGAAAGACTTGATGGAGAGATCCTACAGGAAGCTTTAAGACATGCTCTCAAAGTAGATCAGTCAAACTAATTTTTACTTTATGGCTTCTGTTGAACTCCTGTCGACTGAAATTACGTGGTGTATCCAATGAGTACAGATATTGCTCTTATATATTGCTGTCATTCTTGTAGGCAGAAGGTGCAGAGGAAATAGCTACTGCTATTCATAACTGTGTTAGCTGTTACCTCTTTGTTACCTTCAGCCCAGGAAAGAATGAACATATATCAGCTCTCTTCATCTTTGCCTTAGTTCTTAATGAGTTGTAATAGGGTTTGTTTGGTTTGAGGTTTTGTGGTGGTTATGTTTATGGCCTGTTCGTAAGTGGAGCAACTGAGTGAGCAGACATTCTATGTGTGTGTACAGCAGGAGTTTTTTTCTTTTTACGTCCTATACCAGGTTATATTTTTTTCCAGGATTCATAGCAAGAATTTTCATCTCCAGATTTTTGCCAACAGTCTAATTATTAAGATCATTGAACATGATCTCCCTTAAAGTTTCCATAGAAATTTTCACATTTGTGCTGACTTTTTGTCTGTTTAAGCAAATAGCTCAAAGTAGTCATATTTTGTGAAAAATTACTCGCTCTCTCAATCTCTCACGATCTTATTAATTCTGCTGCTGTACATATTTTCTTGCTTTTCTGTTTTGGCCTTTTTAGATTGTTGGTATGGGTCCAAATTACCATCTAGTAGTATAGAATCAGAAAGATCTGCATCTGCTTCTCAAAAACAAAATAAAACAACCTCTACTGCTCTGTTGTGAATCACATCTGTTGCCACCCAGGGAATGATGCCTTCAGGACTTTTTCCTTAGAGATTAATTTCCTCTTTGCCTGCTTTACTCTGTGTTTAATGATACAATTGTAGGGGGGGAAGGGTAGGAAGGGAAAAAAAAAAGGCTCTTGGCTTCATTAAAGAACATACTAAATTTTTCTTCAGCAGTTGTATACTAACTTTCTGTCAGGTTATTTTCCTTGAGTGGTACCTGCATTCCAAAGCAAAGTTTGACGATGTATAATAGGAGTAGGTCATATATTGATTAGCATAAGTTCTGGAAGCTTTCCTAAAATGAGCCTTTTTTATCTAATAACTCTTCATATTAGCAATGTCCTGAAAGCGTGGAATTGATAAGTAGGTCTTGAAAAAGCATTATTAAAAATAGAAAGCTCTTTCACTGTTCTTCAGTACTTAGTACCATGAGCAGTCAAGAGAGCTCAGTTTTAAGTTGTTTTTCATTCCCAAAGTGGGCTATATTCGGAAATCTACCTCTAGATATTTGAAGGACTTGCATTTTGGGACAGAAAGTAAAAGATGTGTTGTTTTGTCAAGGTATATTCGTCTCCAACAAAAAGTAACATTTGAGACAGAACTGCTGCTAAAGTTATAATGTGACTGATTGGCACCTTACAATATTTGGAACAAGTTGTTGGGAGTGTTTTTGTCCCATTTTGGTGTTTCATTCATTAAGAGAATTTAAGTGTAAATTCTTAATTTGTAAACGTGGTGAAACTTAACTTTCATGTGGATGACCAAAAAAAGGTGTATTGTGGGGTTTTCTTGCAGAAACTTTTGGGAATACTTTCATAAATGTAGCTAGCCATATTTGTCTAATAACACATCAGGTTTATTGTAACTATTTTTGAAAGCCTTACACTAGTCTTAAGAAGCATGAGCAAATTATAATTGTTGTTTCTTTGGGGGTTTTTAATTATTATTTATTATAGTACAATTTTGTGTAACAGGTACAAGTGTGTTGGCAGCCTCTTTTTCACATGCCATAGATGTTTCTTATTACTGTAGTCTATAAAAAGGCTCGTATAAGTAATGTATAAGATGCAGGTATTGAATCAGGATTGCTGGAATATTTATTTCCATTTCTTTACAAGTCAATTCTTCCTTACCCACTTTTCCTAAACCTCCTTCCCTGGCTCTTGATTGTTGTACGATAGGAAAACCCCTGTACTTTTCTGCTCAGAAACTTCTTCTCTGCTTGCTGAGAGAGGCTGGGGTCACACACATAGATTTTCCACCTATCTACCCTTCCCTCACCAAGCATGATTTGGAATTGGACTGATTTAATGGTGTCAGAAGAAATAATCTTTCCATATAATAATCATAGGGCTTATTTTGTTTCCTGCTCAGTTTTCCCAAGCAGCAATTACAGAACTAGTGGGAAGCAGGTTTGGCAGTTGCCTGCTGTCTCAAGTTTTGAGTAACATTTAGTTTCACAACTCCTAGGGAGTGTTTATTTTACTTCAAAGGCTTGGCAAAGCTAAGGGCAGTGAAAAAGTATGAGCATGCCTGGAAAGGAAGGTGATGCAGATTGACTTGGAAATTTCTTGCAGTAAACATTACTGAGCAAAGTGGTTGGGTTTTAGTTTTGATTTGGTTTGTGTTTTTTTTGTTTGTTTGTTGTTTGGTTTGGTTTTTTTAGGAAATGGATATTTTAATATCTCATGTTTGTTAGTGAAAACTTTTATGTTTCTCATGTGCGAACTGGAGATTGGATTTTTCTAGTCTGTTACTAAAGTAAAAAATTGAATCAAGAAATTTAACAAAAGGTCTCAATAAAAATACAGCTTCTCAAGGCAGAAGTAATTTCTCATAGTTTTATACAATTACTATAAAACCAGAATTATCTTCTTATGCCTTGTATAAAATTAGCCAAAAAATTCAGACTTGCTAATTCCAGACATCAGGAACTTTGTCTTCCTTGGCTGTTTTCCGACCTTGGGAATATTCTAATTCTTATGTGATATTTGATAATGTTATGCATATTTTGTGGACAATTTATGCATTTCACAAAAACCTTATTTTAAATATTTTTAATTAAAAAATATTAGTATAGAAAGAAAAAATCCTCAACATATAAGAAAAAGCAAATGTGAAGTGTCATTTTTTAATGGTAGAAAGAGAATTTGGAGCAATCATCTAGTGCTGGTAAGAGGAAGACATGGTTTGATGGTGCAGTTTGATGGTGTGACAGTTGAGATGAAGTGTCATTATACAGATTTTAGTAGGGAGCTGGAGTGGTAAACATCTTAAGTATAACTGGGAAAGACATAAGACTTTTACAGCCCTTCTGAATCTTTGAAGATCACCAGTGATTCTAGCCATATTAGATGCTTAAACTGGGTGCTACTGGCCAAACAGTTCAGTTTTCCAGACAGTAATTATAGCATATGTCATGCTTTTAGCATTTTCTCTTCCTGTGGCCTATTGCATATCTTGGCATACTGGGACAAAGACATGATATAAAAATAGTCTACATAAATAAAATTAATATGAAATATTTTATTCTGCAATTTTTATTTATAATTATCGTATCTTCCATAGTAAAAATACTGTGGAAGCTTCAAGAATGTCACTTTTGGTAACACTGTAATTTTTTATCATCAGATTTATGTACTGTAATGATGCAAAACTGTGTGGTTAAATATAAGAATACCTTTGTACTATATTAATTTCCCTTTGGCACAGTAACTATAGAAAAAAGTTTTAGGAAGGGCCATTTTCAGAATAATATTTTGTGAACTGAACACTGGAAGCTAGGCAGTGGTGACCTTTTTTTGCCTCATGTGCCCGTCACAGAAGGCTGAAGCCCTCAATTAGAGCTTTTCCAAACCAAAGGATGTGACTACTTGGCAGAGTTGGCCACAAAATGTCAGTCTGTGACTGACACCCTGTAGTTTCTTACAAAGTGAAGTGAGCTCTGAAACCACTGATTTTGTTCATTCTGGCTTATTCCGGTTGGAGGTTAAATCTGTCGAACTTCGAAGTGATGTTAGCTCTTAATGACTTACTGTAGACAGCTTTAAATGTACCCATTTGCCAGAATGTCTGCCTTCATACACGAAGTACAGAATCTCTGTATGAATTTTCGGGGGGTGTTTTTTGGGTTGTTGGTTTTTGTTTGGCTGTTTGGGGGGTGGTGTTTTTTGCTTTTGTTTTTTTCTTCTTTAGATTTTCTGATACATGGTGTAAACTCTTGCACTGGCTTTTGAGTCAGTTCCATCCAGATACTGCATTTTCTCTCATATGAAAAGTTTTTGTCTTTTTTCAAACTTGCATATTTAGTTGTGTTGGCAGAATCAGCTTGAAGGTGAAACCAGTAATTTCTTCCAGTATGACTAACCCTGATCTTTTCCACAAACATTCCTTTAATTAAACTGATGCTAACTCGTGATTCATTCCTCCATTCCGAAAGAAAGATTGGGGGCGGGGGGTTCGTGGCCTTCTCATGGTATTTTTTGCTGCTTTGTGATATACAACTTCTTCATTACAGGAACGCTTACACAGAATGAGATGATATTTAAGCGCCTGCACCTAGGTACTGTGTCCTATGGAACAGATACAATGGATGAAATACAGAGTCATATTATAAACTCTTATTCACAGGTATCTCATTTCATAAATAATTTACCTTTAATATTGAGATTTTTTTTAACATCATTGAAGCATGTTACTGATTATGTCTAGGAATTTGAGATGCTATGAAAGTTCTTTCATTTGTAGGTATCCCTTAAGAAATATGATGAAAGGGAAAAATGTGAGATAGTACATAGTTTTCTCCTGATTCTGAACTTCCTTGTAATACCCACTTAAAGGAGTTTACTTTTCTTATTACCATTAGCAGAAATCTATGTTAACCTGTCTGTGTAGTGCAGTCTTTCTCCTGCCAAATTGTCTTAAGAGTAAGCTATTCATTACTGAGACTACAAATTACAACTAATTGTCCAGAACAAGATGAACAGTAAATATATCTTTGAAGATACTCATCAAAAATAGGTGTTGAAAAGCCACGTGAACTTGCCTAACCAAAAGGTAACAAAATAGTTGTCAAAATAAAATTTATAAAGGCATATATTAAAAGTGGGCTGTTGTTTTAATAATAAAGATGATTGCAAAATACATAAAACTGGGGGTAAAGGGAGGGGAATGGAAAACTCTGTATTGCTGGAGAGCAAAGTGTTCCTGTCTGGGAAGTGTACAAGAGGATTGTGGTTCCCTATCGGTCTGTGGATCAGTAGTAGGATGAACAAGGAAGATGGAATTCTGCAAGCATTACTTTCATTTCCCATGTATGTAGACTATTTGGGTGCTTCCTGCAAGCTTTTCTGAGTACCTCGTTCCACTCTGAGATTAGGAAAAATTTTTTGCTTTATTTTCTATTTCTATTCTTTGAAACATGATAAAGAAGAAGAAAAAAAAAAGAGGAAATAAATGCTCTCTAATATTGCCATATGTTGTGTACAGTATGATAATAACCTTTTTATATAAAAGTTCTTTTCCATAACTAACTTGCATACACAAACATGACTGGCTGACATAATTGAGTTTGTTGACTGACCTCCTTGTCTGTGTCCTCATTTTCTCTTGTGAAGGGATTGAAGGATCAACAATTGATTTTAACCTTCTGTTGTGCTCTGTTTTGAACTATAGCCCCCTTCTCATTTGCTTAAATAAAATTAAAAAGTAGCTGTTGGACACCACACTGGACTCAGTTAATATTATGTAGCTTTTGGAAGAGAGGCAGGAGAGAAAGTGAATAAGCAATATATGTTAGAAGTTTTAAGTCTGCAGCTTCAATTTCTGTATTATTTTCCATCTAAACAGATCATCAAATCTAATTCTTGAATTAATTTTCTTTGGATAAGTCTATTTAAGCTGAATTCTTAGTAGATACAGCCAAGAATAGTAACTAAGATTCAATAATATGCCTTGGAAATGAGATATGGAGCTCTTTTACCTAAAGATCAGCAGTCAAAACTTGGATCAGAATGTGTTTCTGAAAGTAAATGCTGCCTGACAATGACTATAAAAATCACCCAAACATAGTTCTGTTATGAGTTGTTTGAGTATTCACAGTAACAACTGTAGCAATAAATCATATTAACTGACTGTCTTGAGCTGGCGCATCTAGGCCTGACTGAGTTAGATGACTAAGCACCAGTCTTCTAGAGGAGGCGTGTTCATTAACGCTTGTTTCATATTTTGTGGTTAAATGTGCTATCTGAAAAGAATCGCCTGAATCTTTGAATTCTTACCAGTTTAAAGCTTTTACTAGTTTGCTGTAAAATTTAATAGTGATATCCATGGTAAATTAATTTTTTAGTAACTGTAACATGTTTGGTACTAAAATTTCTAAAAGAAGTAAGAAATGTGAGGGAAGCTTTTTTTTTTTTTTTCTTTTTTTTCCCAATTGTGGGAAAAGATTTCCCAAATCTATGTTTGCTTTTAGTAGATGATGAAAAGAACTGTCTTGGAACTTCCTTCTTTTTTTGCAGCTTTATATAACGCTACTTGATGTTTAAATAATGCTTTAATTATGTGTGTGTTGGTAGCAAAGCTTTACAACAGAAAAATGAAGGAGTCTTGGTAACAAAACAAGCCACTATTAAACGGTTGTTTCAATCTGAAAAAGTATGGTGAGGTTTTTATTTAATCTCTGATAACAGAAGCTGCCAGTTAGCTAGGCAGTGGTTCTTATGTGACATTGATTTTATCCCTTGTTTGTGTTCTGTTTTATTATTACAGTGGACCTACTAGACTATTGTCATCTTAATGTAACACACAAATCTATTATAACCTGATTATATTTCCCCACTGGAAGCATTTTGTGATAGAGGGCATAATCTTTAATGGAATTTGTGTGAAATTAAATTATACAAGCATCAATAAACATAACATAATTCAGAAGGAGTAAATCAGCTTAATTTATTTGTGGCTGTAATGGCATCAGCGTTAGCAGAATGCAGATGCAGAGGTTTAAAGCAGTAGCTGAAAAGCAGTGCCAGATGAGCAGAAAGTTAAACCCTTTATTAGACAACACTGTAATTTGATGGGCAGAATGTTCACGGTTCAGCAAGGAGGAAAAAAGCGTGGTTTCTGAAGAGGTTTTCTGAGTTATCCTGGATAACAGAAGAGCCTTTGGTAGTACTGCTGATATATTTAATGTGCTGACTTAAAAAACCAAAACCCAGCAACCTTAATTTCAACTAACTATAAACATATAGTACTATCTTAGTGGTTATGCACACTAATGTGATCTTCAAATCTGGGTAGAACAATTATTTTGCATTATTATTTTATTAGATTACTGCATTCACGTAAGGGAAAAACAAATTTCAACCTGCAGCAAAACCATAAAAACTGCATTAGTTCACAAATAATACAGAAATACTGTAGTTTATAAATTAGCAATATTTGTATTCTAATGACTCCTAATATTTATACTTAGCAATGATACTTACTTTTGTCCTTTTGTGCCATACCAATGTGGTGGTCTTTAAAATACAGAGATTTAGGTGAAGATTTAGAAGAAAAGATTTTTTTCAATTTAGTGTCATTGGAGTTTCCAACCTCTGAATGTACACAGGTAACAAAGAGGCTAAACAACTACAACAAAACATCACCCTTGCAATGTTGGTTTGGTGTTTCTCAACTCATTGAATTGGTTGCTGATTTAAATACTGTTTAAAAAACAGCTCATAGAATGTGAAGGACGTTAAAAAGACTGCTGATACAGATCACTGAAAAGGTAAATTCTGAAGTGAGGAAGCAGAGTTTTCTGCAGAATCCAGTCAGCCTATTCATCCCTTTTGTTGCATACTTGTTTTCGTTTCACATTTTTCAGTTGTCTGCAAGCTTTATTACTACAGATCTCTGATGACAAATGCAGTATGATGAACCCGCAGTTATGTATCGAACCTACAGAAAAGTAAATAAGGGATTTTTATGAATCACAAACTAAATAAGTCAACAGTAGGTTATATAAATTAATAATTACTCTCCTTATCATTTATCAACCTTTAAAGGGAACAAGCATATATATATATTAGTATTCATGTTTCGTTTCCGTTATTGAACTTTGCTTCGCTATTAATTGAATCTTAAAGGTGCACTCTCAGAACAGTGGAAACAGTACGAGTTCAACACCATCTAGGAAACCTCAGTCATCTGCACCCAAAGTCCGCAAGAGTGTCAGCAGTAGGATACATGAAGCAGTGAAGGCCATTGCACTGTGCCACAATGTGACCCCAGTATATGAATCCCGGGCTGGTGTGTCTGGAGAAACAGAATATGCTGAGGTGGATCAGGACTTCAGTGATGAAAATCGAGCTTACCAGGCTTCCAGCCCTGATGAGGTTAGTATGCAAAGCTAAAAAAATTAATGCATAAAAAACCCAGGATAAACTAAGTTAAAAAGGGCAGACCTGTGAAAGAAATGTTTTTGGGGCTGGGGTTTCTTTGAAATTAGCAGTAATCCAGTTTTATTTCCTCTACAGCTGTAGGAAAGATCTGGTGTTTCTTTGTTATACAGAAGTGTTTTCAATTATTTGACTAAAAGGTCTGTGAAGTCAGTGCTTTGGGATCAATACTGTGTTGAGTATTGCAATTAAAGACACTAGATGTATTCTCAAAACATTAATCCATGTATAAATTATAGCATATGCATGCAAAAGGAAATATGAAACTAGTTTGAGTGATGGACAAGCAGGTAAATTAGCTAGAGACACTACCAGTTAGTGGAATGTACAGATTCTTAACAGGGAGAAAAAAAAATAACCCAAACCTTGAATACTCCTGTAGAAAAGCTTTTGAGTTTCAAACCCTTAGCAACTTCATAATCTTCAAGTTCAGTCAAAATTGCATTAAGTGTAGCACAAATTTCAATCCCCATTTCAATAAAAACATGCATCTGACTACCACTGAAATCCAAATTTCAAACAAATCCCACTGCTTTCAGTGGATTTTAGTTACTGTTCCAAATAATCCTGTTTTGAGCCCTAAATTGATTGCCTAAAATTCAATCTGAAAAGATACTGGAAGATAGGCAAAGCTCAAGTTTCAAGATACTGCAAAGTAAGCATAAATAATAATTATTGCCCACTTTATAAAAACATGTATGCACTTGATATAGTCAAATACAGAAGTAGAGTACTTAGAGGTTTGCCTCCGAAAGTGAGCAGACTGAAGGACAACTGTTTTAAATAAATTCGAACAGTGTCTGAAGCTTGGATGTGCTGTTGGTGTAGCTACAGTAGCTTAGTCATATCAAAGCAAGATTGTTGTAAGATGTGAAGAAGGGATTGTATATCTGAAAGCCTATGTATTTTTCTAGTATACAAGTCTATCTAATACAAGGTAGTATTTCTTCCACAAACTTCATCTGGCCACAGCATAGCCTATTATTCTTGGTATACATTTATACATTCAGTTTACATGTCTAATAAATCACCATCTGTAGTACTAACAAAACTTCAGCAATTCAAACTGTAGTTGCTAAAAGGAACAAGTCTATAACAAGTATTTTTAGGAATGTAAGAAATAAAATTAAGTTCATCTTCACATAGTACCAAACTAGCAGTCATGTAAATTTCAGATGTTATAAACACAGTTCATAGTGTCAAAGGACTGTAGAATATAAAGAAGTGGCTGTTTCTCAGTGATTAAAAAGTTTTTTAAAAATAAACTCTAGGCAGGATGGACTCCTAGCTCTTTGGCTAAAATCAATAATGCATAGTACTATATGTAGCGTTATATACTGTGGGTTGATCTGCGTTATGAATTGAGCATGCAGGAAATGCGTTTGTTTATGCCAGAGATACACTGTAAATATGGTTTGTTAGTGTAGTTGTGTTTTACTTGACTTGTATGATGCACATGTGTACAATTTTTCATATGCACATATATTCATGTTTCCTAAATAGGTCAGTGTAGTGAACTTGTGAGGTATTGCTAAATATAGTGAAAGACAGCGTGAACAAGTACTAACCTATGCAGATATGATGGCAGCTATAGATTAAGTAAACATTCTGCTTTAACAGCCAAAGCTGCTATTAAATCAGGTGAAGAGACATGCAGTTGACAGAGACTGAATTTTTTCTCCCATTTGCTCTTCTCTCCCTGCGGGCTTTTTGTATATTCATTCAGTTGTTTGGAACCTGAAAATACTACCATAAAGAACAATTCTCTTCTCATATTTGCTAAAGGAAACAGCTGTAAGACTTGAGAATTATGAAGGTGGTGTCCTGAGAAGACAGTAGGGAATTTGACCTTGTAAAGAGGAAAGTTGATAAAGTGCTAAAACAGCAGATACAGGACTCAGGGTGGAAAGGGAAGTAGAAGAGAAATCAACAACACAAAAACTGTTAGTGCTTCAAGGAAGAGAAAGCACAGGTATCCTTTTAATAATGAATTTATTTTTTACCATCTGGACTCATATATTCAAACTATATGGCAGTGAAATTAAAAACTTACATTTTAGAAGAGACAGCATTAAATTTCCTTTTTGTTTCTCAAAGATAATGCTTGAAACACTAGAAAAACTATCGTATTGAACAAATATGCTTTAAAATAATGAGAAATTGATGCTAAATTGAGTCCTATAAAAAGATGAAGCTACAAAAAACCCCATTTAAACAGCTTAAAAATTGCAGCATGACAGCAAAAAGCCTGAGAGTTGAAAGACTAGCAGGTCTTTATCATAATTTTTTAAAGAGTTCTATTGATGCAATGTTTGCAAATCACTGGAGCCTAAGGAAAATAATGTAAATGGTTCATTATTTAGCTTATTGAACTTTCCTGCAGTTAGGTTGACGAATGATGCCAATGTTTCCCAATCACCGAAGTACCATTTTAAAAGCATTTTTTATTGAATAAAGTGCTTTGAATATTGCACCCTGGAGCTTTATTTAGGGAAATGGTTCAATTGATGTTTTCTGTTTAACCTCAGCATTGACCTATCACAACATATTTGGTTAATAAGCAACATTATCATTTAATAGACTTAACCAGTTTTATGCATTGTACTTCCTCAATGTTACAACTCCGTTCTCTTAGATCTTGTTTATGGATCTAGCTTGATTGCAGTCGTTTGAAAGAAGATATTTGCACAGTTGTCTGTTGTGTTATACAATATTACATGATATCATCATAGGATGTAAAGAGCAGAGAACAATGTGTAAGTATAAACTATTCTCCCATGTAGGAAGGTATAAGAAGCAGTTTAGTAATACATTGATACACTCTACACTTAGTGAATTGATTTGAAGAATTCATTTGAAATTCTTCACATCTATGTATGTATGTGTTCATCCATATACAGATAAAACGTAACTGTAACAAAGCGTGCACATTCAGAAGTACATTCATCATAAAAGATGTGTTTATCTGTTGTTAGAGTAACCTGAGATAAGTAACTGATTTTGTATTCATAATGGGAACCCTACTTATGCCAGGCTCTTTGTTTCTTATGATAAGTGATCAATATTTCATTTTCTGTGAAAGAGTGGGAAGTTTCATTTGTCTGTCAGTTGTCCTCTACAGCTGTAGCATAGCTAACAATAAACATCCATTGAGAACACACTAAAAAAAAAATGAAAACAGCTCCTACTTGGCCATCATAGGTGTGGGTCCAGATTATCTGCAGAAAGTCAGCTACTTTAATGTAATGAACAATCATAAAAGGATATAAGCTAAGTATGTAAAGCGATGGAGTTCAAAGGTTACAGACCCAAGCAATTCAAGGGCATGCTGTGAACAGGAGCCTTTGAAGACCTTTGCTCCCCATGGTCAGAAAAGGATGATCAGTCATGATTTTTAATGACTGCTTACTCTCATAAACCAGCCATTTATTTATGCTTTGTCCCACACTGTTATATTCTCAAACATTTCTAATGCCAGGATTTTGAATATTTAAATACTACCTTAAAGTGTGGTCAGTTATTTAATTCCAACTTTTCTGTCTAGAGACAACAGAGTTGCTAAAATTAATTATAAAGATACAAACTCAATCATTTAAAAACAGACAGGGAAATGATACACCCTTAGTGAAGCAGCTTTTGTGTTTACAAAAGTGAAGCTGTAATGTATGAGACATGTTGTATTGTTTAATTCATTTTATTGTGTGTGCTTATTGAAGCAAGACTAATTGTGTTGTTTTGTCAATGTATTGTGAAAAGCAAATCACTCAGTAGCATAAAACCATCACTTTCATGTCCTTCGAGACCCACAAAGAATAACTACTCCATAGCTTGACTTGAATACTGATCGGCAGTTTTTTCACATGATCAAGCTGTATTTTTAAGTTAATAATTTTAGTTATGAAGTTTTTAGATGAAAAGGGATAGACTGCAAGTGATAGTTATCAAACCATTGTTTATAAATGCAAACAAAGCAGTGCTGATTGGAAACATATGTGAGATGTTGAACAATCCAAACAGAAACCGTTGGGAACACTCAGGCAGTGGGGAACAAGAAATCTCACTGCTTCTTTCCTGTTTCCAAACCAATAGCCATAACTTCAAAATACCACACATATGACCTCTGTATACCTTATACAGCAACCTGGTTTTGAAAGTAGATCCTGTTGTCTGAAGTGAAGGTGTTCTTAAATACTCTGAAATAAATGTAGGTTGGTACAGGATAATTCTTTTTCACCCTACAGATTGCTCCCTCATATATGCCAAAACCTTTGAAGCTTTATTTATATGGGTCATTTTTCAGTTTAAGTGGTCGTGTTTGTATCATAGCCCCAGAAAAGCTGTCAGCACAATTGGTGGGGAACTCCCAAACTCTGGGAGGGGATGGAGAAGAACTGCCAACACCAGCAGCAAGGTGGTGGATCTTTTTCTTAAGCTGATGTTGGCTCAAAAGGGAATATTGTATGTTGAAAGTGATGGTCCCAGAATTCAAAGGAAGCAGGAGTAGTATGATGTTTTATATGTTCCAGTCCTGATTGATGTAGTATCTAAAAGAAGCAAGACAGCCTAGGGCATTTTTTGGTCTTCTGCCAAGCAGTAACAGCCTTTTAGGATTGATCTAGTAACTGAAGGTCTTCAGAAATCAGAAGTGTGCTTCAAATACCTCAGTTTGAGGATTAGTAAACCTATGTGCTGAAAGGCAAGACGAGTTTCATATTTTTTCAAATGACTGTATCAGGTTTTCTTTGACTGGACATCTTCATGCCATCATGCTCCCCAGATGACAGGTTACTAGAGGTACTTATATTTTCCACAGTGCAAAGGGACTTTTTGGTGTTGCAGTTCCCCAAACTGAAAATCAGTAGGACAGTTGGGTGATAAGTGATACTTCCTGTTGGTCCAGAGGAAGCTAAGGAAGATGTTAATCTGAGAGGGAATGAAAGTGACCTTCCATGTGCAAATTACTCAGCCTCACAAGGAAAGATCAAGAGAATTTAGAGATGGGCTTTGAGTTGGGGTGTGTAAGGAACAGTCCTGTACATACTCATTGAGTGGCCTAAAGCCATCTTAACACCACTCCAGAGAGAAGCAAACTCCTGTTATTTGATAGGGCAGGCAGTTAACTTAACTCCTTCATGCTCAGAGTTGAAAGTAAATAGATTGCTGTTCCTCTAAATGCTTTCTATGGACAATATGTTTCATCTTACACGTTTGACTTTTTTATCTATTGATTCCTGTGCTTAGATATTTGCAGTATTTTCTGCCACATAATTATTTTAACTTGGGTTATTAAATGGGGCTTATAGGCTAATAGAACGTGTTGTAGAAAAGATTTTTTTTTTTTCCTTAATAAGATGTTGACACCACAGTTGGAAAAAAAATCATTTAGAATGTAATTAGTTAATGATGAATGAAATACACCAAGGGTTTTGTGGCCTATCAATTTACACGTTTTCTTTCTTTTTTTTTTTTTTTAATTGTTGATCAGTATTTATTTTAGGCTAAAATCAATCTAATGTTTTAATTAAATATGTATTTCTGAATCCACAACAGGAATAATGGGCTTGGATTTTTTGCAGTGCTTGATAGAGAGTTTGTGAAGTCCTTAACTGTTCATTTTCCTAGCTCCAGTAGGCTTAGGTTTTGCGACTGATAAAATAGGAAATGATCATCGCCAAAAACCTTCTGTACCTTGTGGAACTTTCTTGTAACTGCCTAAGAAACTTAAAAGCTGCTTGTTTTGATCTAGTTCCATAAATGAACATTTCTAAACAAACAGGATGATGATGGCCCCAAAACATGGAGTTAGGACTGCCATGGTCTGTAACAACAGTGGTTCTGAAGTTTCCTCTCTTCATGCCCCTCTCAACATGCACACGTTCCTCAGGCAACTGAGCTAGACACACCGTTCTGGTCAGAGAAGCTACTTCCGCCTCAAGAGCTAGTACTTTTACATTGTGGGTCACGCAGTTACTGCTTGAGTTAAGAGAGTTTCTGTATGAAGTCTATGAATTTCACTTGAATCTCAATCTGTGTTGTGGTAATTGAAGAGTTTGATATGTGGGGCTGTGAGCAATGGAAGCTCTGGCAGTCGGGTGGCCTCTAGTGGAGAGGCACTGCTGACATAGACAACCAGAGCTCAACAGTGGGCGTGTGGTAGATAGAAAAACACCTGAAAGGTTTTGGGTAAGAAGCTCTAAATAAGAGGGGTTTCTCGGTAGCTTTTGTCAGATCTGTTATTTTTACATTTCATAATGGAATTATTTTCTACCTTCATTCCTAATTTGGAACTTGCTACTTCCAAAGAAGAGAGGTGGAGAGCTGTCTTTACCCTTTGGATTTCTACTGAGGAGGAAGACAACTAGCAAGTTAGAAACCACTGAAGCTTTCTTTGACTCCACTTTCATTACCTGTCCTGGGAACACTACACAGCTAGTGGGTTGAGGTGCACACCTGTGTCCCAGTAGTGGGAGGACGCTATAGCTAGCAATGTACTTCTGTCTCCTAGGCAGCCAGTTTCCATAGAAGAACTTGGTGATATACCAGACAAGGCCCACTAAATATCCAGATAAGTCCCTAATAAAAAAAATATCTGTGGATTTGGGAAATGGGCAATTTCATCAATGCATGTTAGGAAATTAATAGTTGACAGCAAGTAAACATTATAGTTAGAATGATTTTTCCTTTTTTAAGCAAAATGGTAGCATCAGCAGCAAATACTTCTGTGCCTCTCTAACCTTTGATTGCTTTATCCAACTCCATCCAATATTTCAAGCTTTATAGAAGCCACAGCTGCTGTGTTTATTTGGCATTCTAGGGGTTATTGATGTATGCATACTAGATTGCAAGACCATTTTAATATAAAGTTTCAGAAACATGTTGAAGAGAATACACTTGTCAAGGGGAAACCTCAAGAAGAGAGACTTGCCTAAGAATGCTTTTTCTGAACTCTGTATAGCCAGTCTTTCAGTATATATTTATTTGTTAAGAGTTATAATTTAGATTTTCATGCCATTTGTGAAATACTTTTTTTTGATTTTATATTCTAAAAAGCTTCAGATATTTAAAGGTGAGGTCTGGCTGTGGTGTTCTGGATGCTGTCAGGGTCTAGCTGCTGTGATTCATTCTGAATTATGAGAGTCAAATTTAATTTTTTGCTCTGAAGTTTGTTTAGTTGCATTTTAGGCATCTGTTTGACTCTTGAGCCTTATTGACTATCTCTGCTATAGTATTTGCACTGATCAATTAGATAAAAAAAAAATATGCAGTTGCATGTAGGCCAGGTATTAGAATCCAAAATGACTGTGCTGTAAAATGCTAATTGAAATGGTAGGTGAAGCCAAGCATAAACGAAATAATAAACAGATGTGAGCCACCAAATATAGAACACTTAGTCCTAGCTGCAAAGGGACACAAATGAGATGAAAGGGTATTAGTAGAAAGATGCAATTTACAGGTCAGACTGTAATAGTAACCTTTCACTGTGAAAATTGAAAATTAACCTTGGGAGTATTGAATCATTTACAGCTTTTATATGGTACTTCTGTTGAGAGAAAAAAAAAACCAAAACAGTTGCATGTAGGCCAGGTGTAAGAATCCAAAATGTTTTCCTTATTAGAACTGTTACTTCTGAACAGTACAGTCTAAATAAGTCCTTTGCAGGAATAAGTTCAAGTAAGGTTTTCTGTTCTTCATAAGAATTTTTGTAAGCTTACTGAAGGAAAATGCTTATTTGATGTATTAAGATTTTGTTCTCAGTGTGCTATTCACTTTTTTTTTTCTCCCCTAGATTCTTGGAAGAGTTTAGACTTTTACCCTAGCAACAGTTGTTTGGCTTTAGCCTGATTTATAGAACAGTATAATAGACCTTCTGAAACATGACCTATAATAGACACTGAAACATGTCTGTTTTGTTTGGTTTTGGGTTGTTTTTTTTTTCTCTTTAGGTAGCTCTGGTGCAGTGGACCGAGAGTGTGGGTCTCACTCTGGTTAACAGGGATTTGACCTCAATGCAGCTGAAGACCCCTGGTGGACACATTCTGACATACTACATTCTGCAGATCTTCCCCTTCACTTCTGAGAGCAAGCGCATGGGCATCATAGTTCGGGTAATTGTGGGGGTCCTCTGAGTGTTTGTTTTTATATCTCAAAAAATGTTTTTACTGAATGTTTATTTTTATGAAATTTAATAGAAACTTGATCATTCAGAAAGTGCATTTCACAAGATTTTCAAATGGAAAGTGTACGTTTCATATGGGTACTCATGAAATACTAGGCAAGCAATTGTAGAAGAATCAGACTAATCTCATGTTGCAGAGATTCTCTTTCATGGGAACATGTTAATTTCACTACTTTATGCTTAGCCTCTGATGCTGCAGGTTGCCTTTAAGCCTTTGATTTTAATTTTCCATTTTTTTTTTCATACAAAATATGTTGCCTCTTCCAGAAATAAATTAATGGCTGAAATTTCTTACAGTAGTAGTTAGCAACTTTCTGTACTACTAGTGCTGCTGCTTTTCCAGACCCAGTGCTGATATCTGAACTGTCATGGATACACAGCACAACCCTAGGGCCTAAGATTTATGAGGTATGTGCTTAGTTGTCTCCTAGATGTCCAGTTAGGAGTAACAATCATTAAAACCTCAGATGAAAGAAAGCCACAATACCATGCTAAAAGCAAGGTTTAAACCTCTGTGAATGTTAAGCCATCCGCACTACATACTTCTACCTTCTCCCTACCTAAAATCTGAGACTGTAGCAGAACAACTTCAGACAGCATTGTTAGACAGTTAGTTCACTGCCAAGTCCCAGTTAAATAAGTGTCAAACACATCCCATTTTTTATTTGTCCATGATGACAAGCCAGGCACGCCATCAGCCTTAGGCAAGTATACTTCAGGCCTGGAGAGACTTTGGCAAGTGTGTATTTCTTTAGGTGATGGTGGCACTAAGAGCCTGTTTTAACAGTGACATGCTCATTTAAGAAGCTTGCAGATCAGACTAATCCATTCCTTCAGTGACAAACTATACCTCTTATATACTTCTGATTTCTTTTATATTTGCCTGCATGTGAATTCTGTGAATATACCATGAGTGTTTCATCATTAAAACAGCTGTAACAAGCATTTACACTAAATTATTTGTAAATTTTTAATTACTTAGTTATTTCAAAGATACGGGGTAAACTTTCTGTTGCGAGTTAGACAGTATATGCCACCAAAGAAACAAAGGAGTGATTACAGGGGTCATAACAGTGATATTCTAAAATTTAGACTTGCAGTTTAGGTATGCTGATAATCTGTTAGTCACAGCAACATCACTTGGAACTGATCCTCTCATATGAGAAAGTAGGGAATATGCATTTCAATGAAATCAGAGATGTCATTTGAAGTAGTGACATCAGGTAATAAAACTTACCCACCTCTTGGCAGTGTACTACTTCTTTTATAAATCATCCATTGACTACTGGAAAAGACAGTTATGTTATTGGTAGGTAATTGTTTTGACTGTATAAACAGATTTTTTTTTTCCATTGTATTTCTTTTGTAAAATTTTAGGATGAATCTTCAGGAGAAATTACATTTTACATGAAGGGTGCAGATGTTGCAATGTCCACTATTGTACAGTACAATGATTGGTTAGAAGAAGAGGTAAGAAACAAAAATCAAAATTTATAAAAATTAAGATTCTGTAAAAACTAAAAACCTAAAGTCAAAATACCATTAATTTTTGGAATAGGTTTAAAAGAGAACCTGAGCCAGTGCAGTAACGGGTTTTGAAGTTGTTACATATATCCTGAATGGATTTTAAGTGATTAGAATTACTTCCAAATCTTAAATAACCCATAGGAAAAGCAAAGCTGAGAGTCTCAGCAGAACACGTTCCTACTTAAAACAAGGAAAGTTGTTTTTCATTGACTGACTTTTCACATAAAACCTAATTACTTCTGAGAAGTGTTCTGCTATAAATCTATTTATCTGAAGTGCTTTTGTTTTATCAAATTCTACAGTGAGGTATGATTATGAATTATGAAGTACAGTAAGGGTTGCAGCCAAATTGAAATAGGTTTTTTGCCACATTTACTAAGCTTAACGTAAAATAGCTAGTGACTGAATTTCAAAGCTGATGGCTATTTTTCACTGTGTGGCTCTAGAAGGTACCAGCAATCATCTTATTTTGACCCTACATACAGACAATATGTTAATACAATGATTACACCATGTATGTTCATAATGTTATTGGCAATATGAATCAATATCTGCTGGAGGGCAGTTTGATTTATTCAGGGACACGAATAAATTAAACTCCCTTGAGACCTAGCAAAATGTCATAAAAATTACTTTTGGCGATAATGATGCACAATTAATTGTAAAATAGTTGTTTAATTTATTTAGCTTTATGAGGTCAAATCAATAAGTGTTTTGCACTGGACAGCCTTGTTTTTCATTAAGATATGCTATTCCATGGCTATTTTTAATGTCTAGATATCTTTCTGATAAGAGGTATGTGCAATGTAAAATAAAATGTAGCTTTATTACATGCCTCAAAAATAGCTTTTATTTCTTTTAAAGCTTCAACCTAGGATAGGATTTCTTTAAGCTAGGAGAGAAAATAGAGATTGGCTTACCAGTAATTTGGGGGACCTGAAGTATCATTGCTTTTTATACTGTTCGTGGCTTCTCCAGAATAATCTGAGTCTAAAAAGTTATGGTACAGATATCCCCTGTTAGCATATAATATAAAACATGTACATATGGTTGAATATTTGCATAACTGTTCTGTGGTTTGTTCCACTTAGTGTGGTAATATGGCACGAGAAGGACTGCGTACACTGGTTGTTGCCAAAAAATCACTGACGGAAGAACAGTATCAAGATTTTGAGGTATGAAGGGTCAGAGTGATCTTCTGCTTCGCCATATTAAGTTACTTTAAGGGGAGCATTCCTCTAGAGCAAACTCTTAAGTGGTTTTGTGTTTGTGCAAACAGAGTCGATACAACCAAGCAAAGTTAAGCATACATGATAGAAACCTGAAGGTTGCTGCTGTTGTAGAGAGTTTGGAGCGAGAAATGGAATTGCTGTGTCTCACCGGAGTAGAAGATCAGCTGCAAGCAGATGTTAGACCAACTCTAGAGATGCTAAGAAATGCTGGAATAAAGGTACTAAACACATACTGCTGACGTAACAGGTCATCATTTATTAACTTTTTTTAGCAAGACATGAATAGTACTTGTCTATATTCAGGTGCATTCAAAGTAAGGAGTATCATAGAATCACAGAACAGTTTGAATCAGAGAAGACCTTAAAGCTCATCTAGTTTCACCCCCCTGCCATGGGCAGGGATACCTCCCACTAGATGAGGTTGCTCAAAGCCCTGTCCAACCTAGCCTTGAACAGTTCCTGGGATGGGGCATACACAGCTTGTCTGGCAAACTGTTCCAATGTCTCACCACCCTTAGAGTAAAGAATTTCTCTGTTGAGAATTTATAGGTTAGAATTAGTGGGCAGACCAGTGTGGACAATATTATGGTGAATGTCTGGTGCAGATGGCCTGATCAAGAAGTAGTAGAAGAGGCCTTCTGGAAGAAGCCTCACACTTGCACATGCTAGTGCTTGTGTTGGACTTCAACCACCCCAATATCTGCTGAAAGAGCAACACAGGAGGGCATAAGCAAACCAGAATGTTGGAGTGCAATGACAATAATCTCGTGATACAGGAGTTGACAAGGAGAGATGCTCTGCTAGTCCTCATGATAACAAACAAGGAGGGTCAAGTTAGATCTTACTACTGTGTATAAATACCTGAAGGGAGGCCGCAAAGAGGACAGAGCCAGACTGTTTTCAGTGGTTCATAGTGAAAGCAGAAGAGGCAGTGGATGGAAACTTCAATATTGAAAGAAGTTTTTTTTTACTGTGAATGTGTTCAAACGTTGGAGCAGGTCTCCCAGCGAGTTTGTGGAGTCTCCATCCTTGGAAATGTTCAGAACTGTTTCAACATGGTCCTGAGCAGCCTACTGTGGTTTCAATGTGGTCCTGAGCAGCCTGCTGTACTCAACCCTGTTTTGAGCAGAAGAGTTGACTAGATAATCTCCAGAGGCCCCTCCCCATGTCTGCTATATTGTTATTCTGTTTTTAATTAATCCCTGTTCCCCAAAGGCTTTCAGATGAATTAGCTTGTAATGCAGTGGTGTGCACAATTAGAAAAATATATGTATGGATTGAAGCCTTATGATTACATCAAGTTTCTTGTAGTAGAGTGAGACTAGTGCAAAGTACTTAATATGTACTTCATGTACAATATTTTCTTGATTGCTCTTGATACTTCTTCTGTACGTGGTCACTTCTGACTGTTGGGTATATCCTGCTAAAATAGATATAGAACACTGACAATATTTAGGTTGTCGTTTTGCTTTGGGTTTTTTAATGATTAGTTCTAGGATTTCAAAGCATTAAAACTGTTCTGGCTTTAATTACAACTAACATTATAAGTAGGAGGGAAACATGGTAGTAGCTGTTTCTAGGTCATAAAATTATACATTACTCATTTACTGATGAGAAAATACGAGTCTTGTCCGTTCATTGACCCACAAGAACACTAATGAAAAGGATCTTGCCTGAGATGTACGGGTAAAAAGGGAGACAGAGGCTTACAGTGTAATAAAATTGTGACTGTAAACTTAGTAACTGCAGTAATAACTTCTGCAGGTAAAGTAATTTTTCCTATGTGGTGTATTCAGTTTGGTCTAAGGGTAATGGTATTTCATCAGATGTCCTTCAACTTTCTTGGTGTTAAGGGGCTGAGGGAGAGAGCGCCATCTCACTTCAAGAACAGGTGGATCCTCAACCTTATTCTTTAATGCTTTCATCCCAGTTTTGTATGGTCAGTGGGCAGGATCTCTTTGGAGTGCTGGGGCTGTAGCTCTTCCTCTAGGATATACTGTCTCATTGCTTGGCTGCTGCTTTCTGATAGATTCTTACTAGTGTTACAGACTGTTGTGTTGCATCATTTTACTAACAAATGTCTTTCGCGTGTAGTTGTGTGCATGCTCTTTCAGCCAAGGTAGCGTCAGGGCCTTAGGAAGGGAAAGGCTTTTATGCTCTCCCTGCTTTTCAGCTATGCCAGTGGCTTTCCCCAGAGTTTCACCTTGTCTTCATCTGAACTGAGACATTGGCCTTTGTGAGAAGGGTAGGAGAATGGAACTGCCTCAAGTGCATTATTGCAGTAAAAACTGCTATTAATCTAATACGAAAAGGTACCAGAAAAAGCTTAGAGAGAGATGTCATTTAGATTTGGAGAACAGACACATTAATAACCAGTGGAGTAAACTTTAACATTATTTTGCAGATATGGATGTTAACAGGAGATAAACTGGAGACAGCAACTTGCATTGCCAAAAGTTCTCACTTAGTGTCTAGGACTCAAGATATTCACATTTTCAGACCTGTAAGTATAGTTCCAACTTTTTTGTTGGTTCATCAAAGGACAGCTAATAACAATGTTTCTTTATCTGATTAGGAGTTGGCTGCTTTTTGAAAATCACCCTTGTTTGGGTGACCCAGGTTCATCATACATTTTATAATCTTCACTTAGGCAATGAACATAGTAAGGTACCTGTGAATAATGATGGAAAGGGGGTTTATGTGAGATGCTGAGCCAATAGGAAAGAGTATTTAGACTTACTGAATAGGGTTTTTGCTTGTTTGAGAATTTTCATTAATAGAACTCTTTTGTATCATTATATATATTTGCATTCTTTTTAACAGACTGTTCAAGACAATTATTAGGAAGGTAAACTGAATATCTTTTTCAGTACATTTTGGTTATAGTTGCATAGCATCAACTTTATTGAAGCCAAACAAAATAGATTTTCCAGACTTTGATTGATGCCATGTGATCAGACATAATATGTCTGTGTTTGCTCTAAATGAACCACTTGCACCTACAGAAATAATTATATGAATATAATTTACATGTAAATGTAGTTTCTTCTGAAGCATCAGAATGGCAAATTGGGCCCTGCAGACTACTATTTGCAATTAAATTATTAATGCTTCTGATAAAACTTCAGATCAATTTTTGTTGACCTTTCCATGTTGTAACACCACAAATTAAACCTTCCTGGACAAAATCTATTTAGTTGAGTCAGATTTTTATTTTCATTACCTTGACTGGTAATAAGAGATCAGCAGAAAACTCTGTTAACTTAGAAAGTTTTAAATTAATTACAAAATGGATTTATACACAATTATTTCTGTGGCTGAATTGGTTGCAAAGAAATAACTACCGGATTAATGTAAGAAAATACCACACTAAAACTTTTAGTTATAAATTAGTGAATAAAAAATTATGTACTAGTTTGGCTTCCCAAAAGAAAGGCATTTTGTTTTTAACACTTATCCTTTTTATTCTTAGAAGTCTTAGCTTCTTAATTTTGTAATGAAATTAACTGATATATTGTTCTAGAGATACTTGCAAATTAAAACAAACCCAAGAAAATCCTCTGTTAGGTGGAAGGTAGACCAGAGAGGGCAATTACTGCTCCTCAGTGTACATCAAGTGCTGACATCTCTTAATTTCTGTAATGCAGGAAGTTTATAATGGGTCAGTGAAATACGTGGTTCCTAACAGTTGGCAGACAAGGAGCTTTCTCTTTACACATGGTTGATTCTGTGATTCTGTGACTTAATTGTGAGAAAGGAAAAAAAGCCTGAATTGGGGCACATGTGTGGGGGAATCAGTTTGCAGGTGCTTTTTAATGTAACTCAAATTGTATGTATAATAGAGCCCATCTGGAGGGAGAAAGGTCTTTGGACTGCATCTGATTCTGGGTAGTAGTGGGCCAAAGACAAAACTTCATGTTCAGTGTAATTAAGACTCATCTATTTTAAAAGCCATTTCATCAAACTGCTGACAGAGCCAAAATGAGAAGTGTAATCAGAGTTTGCGTTTTATTCTGGTTTATTCTGCTTGCAATTTTGTCTTGCACGATAGCTCTAAAATACATTGATCTTTTATTGGAAAGAAAACCAAAACTGCAGTCTCCTCAAAATCTGCTCATAATTTACATTTTTCGTGTTCTGTGTTCTAGCTCAAAATGTTCCAAAATCTATTTGGTAATCTTTGATCATTTTTGCATTTCACAGCTGGGCCTTTCTGAAAGAATAATTATGTAAATTAAAAAAAAAATCTATGATGTAGTTCTTTTGTATTATGCCACTTGATCCTGCTTGCATACTCATACAAGATCCAAAAGGATTAGTAATAGTGAGCATTTTTATGTGCCGTTTGAAATCTGTACCTACTTACCTAAACTGAAGGAACCATTAACGTGAACATTTTTCATTATTCAAAGAACATATTTTACTGGTTAATGATTAAATGTTTTGGGATTTGGTTGGGGTTTTTTTGTCTATTTTTCATCTAGCTCTGCCAAGATAGAAGGACTCAGGTCAGCTTGAACTTAAGATATTTTAGTCTCACGAATTCATTAGTTTTTTATCCCTGGTCTACTTTGGTGAGGAACCAGTTTAGCTGACTACATAGACTTTCCTCGTTTGAGGATAACTTTTCACTCTGTAAGATCCAAGGCTTGTAATCACATCCCATGGTTTGCACTGGGATAAAACACTTGTTGAAGAACCAAGGCTTTCTGGGTATGAGTTATCAAAACCTCATTTATTTAGGCAAGATTTTTTTAAGAATATAATAAAATCTTTAAATTGAGTGCTTTTTATTGAAGGTTACCACTCGAGGAGAGGCTCACTTAGAATTAAATGCCTTTAGGAGGAAGCATGACTGTGCCTTGGTGATATCTGGGGACTCACTTGAGGTAAGAATTGGTTTCTGTCAGATTATATTTGTCTGTATACTTATGTTCAAAAAGTAAAGTATCAGCGCCTTCGAAGATGCTCTTTTTTTTTTCCTAGTAATTGCTCATATTTAAGTTGACCTTAGAGATACTTCTGTTTTTCACTGAGTCCTAATTGGAGGATTTATGTTCTAAATGGAAAATGTTATTGGTTCTCTGGTCTCCTGTATGGTAACAGAATGGAATTCGTATGCAGCGTGCTATTGTCTCTTCTCTTAACCCCAAACCATGTTGGCTCTCTAAATGAGAATGTCACTTTAAAGTAATAAGCCACAGTCAGGATAATGAGGCTTTTTTTCTCCCAGGTGGATGTTGTGCAAGCAAAACTTCATAAAAGAAGAATTCTTCATACTGTGTTTGTATGTTAGACTACATATTGTAGTATTTAATCATAAGTAAATGTGAATGTTTTGGGGTTTTTTTTTTAGGTTTGTCTGAAGTATTACGAGCATGAATTTGTAGAGCTTGCTTGTCAGTGTCCTGCTGTAGTATGCTGCCGGTGTTCTCCCACCCAAAAAGCTCATATTGTGAAACTGTTACAGCACCACACTGGAAAACGCACATGTGCAATAGGTAACTGTTGGCACGATCTTCATTTGCAGTAGCTAAAGTCTGTCATAAAATTAAGTAGTAGATGGCACCATTGAGAAATAGTTGGAACAAATCCAAAGAAACTTTTATGAACAGCCAGGTATTATGTAGCTGTAGCAGAAAATGCCATTCCGTGAGAAAGATGTTGTTATCTTCTTTTCCTCAAGAACAAGTCTTGATTGCTAAAGTAATTAATCATAAGCCATAGATTAACTGTAAGAATTGAAAGGTATATAAGAGGCTTCTAAAATACTGTAAGGCCAGGAGAGTAAAAACTCTGAAGAGCTGAATATTGCAGTGACATTTTCCAGGTGATGGAGGAAATGATGTCAGCATGATCCAAGCAGCAGACTGTGGAATTGGAATTGAAGGCAAGGTAATGTTAACAGTTCCATTGTCAAATAGTAACATAGGATTAAAAGCTTTATTCTTAAACAATAGTGAATTGATAATTTCTAATTAAAGTATGCTGTAAGATGATAAAAATGCTTAGTCTTTGAACTAGTGTCTTCCTTGCTTATATGTACTTTGAGGTTGGGCAGAACCTTGGGCAACATGGTCTAGGGGTAGGCGTCCCTGCCTATGGCAGGGGGGTTGAAATTAGGTGATCTTAAGGTCCTTTCCAACCCTAACTATTCCATGATTCTATGTTATCTTTTTAAATACAAAAAGCAAGAAAAGGAGAAAACGCTATAGATATTTTTGTGTAGCATTTACCTGAAAGAAGCAGGATAGGTGCTTAAACTTGCTTGTTATGGCCACTGCATCTTAGAATACACATAAAAAATTGTCCTTTGTGTCTCATTGCAGAGTTGATTTCTGAATCAGGAGGAAACTTAAGTTTTAAATTTAATTATCACTTAGAATTTTGAAATTATAAACACATTGTTTACACTGGGTTTCATATTTGGAATATTTTTGTTTGTTCTAGGAGGGAAAACAAGCTTCCCTAGCAGCTGACTTTTCTATCACACAGTTTAAACACATAGGTAGGCTGCTGATGGTACATGGTCGAAACAGTTACAAAAGATCAGCAGCGCTTGGGCAGTTCGTCATGCACCGAGGCCTTATTATTTCAACTATGCAGGTATTTAGAACTTTGTTTTCTGAACAGTTAAAAGCACTATGTCTGTCTTTGAAATGTCACTAAATCTTAAACAGTACTGTTACTTCCTTTTTTATTGTAGTGTTTTGTATATAGAATTACATTAAATATGTATATAATCTGCTTTTTGTAGGCTGTATTTTCATCAGTCTTCTATTTTGCATCTGTTCCCTTGTACCAAGGATTCCTAATGGTAGGGTAAGTCAAAACCGACAGTTATGGTATCTGGTAACAAATACAGCAAACTAACTTGTAACAATAACATCATATAGTTGGTGTCTGCCATGTTTTTCATACATTTATCATCGGTACGCTACCAAACCTGGCCTCAATCTATAAACAAAAGTCAGAGTAAGTTGAATATGTACTGTATGAGGGGGGGAAGCCTCATTATCAGTTTTCTGTAGAGAGGGATCTGCATAGCCTGAGATGAAGGTACCCTATAGCATTTTTCGCACACGATTGAAAACAATAGAAGTTTCCCAGACAGTTTCAGCTGTTAAACAGATTGCCATGCAAGCCTTAGGAAGAATCAGATTTTTCTGTTAAAAGTGGAGCTGAAGCTACTGTGATATTTCCTGAGAGTGCACTACCCAAATCTGCCACACAGATTTCTGTACAGGTGAATGTATGCAGGATTAGGAGCACCCTGGTCTTGTTGTCAGAGCTGCTTTAGTAATACAGTTCTCACAGTCATACAGCTGAGGGATATGCATATATCTGTGTTTGTCCCTGCTCTCTGCCCCTTCTGCCCTAAGAGCTGCTTCTTATATTGGTTGTAAACAGTAACAATCTAAATCAATAGTAAGTTAAATCATAGTCAAATCAAGGTCTGATTACACTAGACTTTGCAGGGGCAGACAGTAGACCTTTTGAAAATGTTTGTAATTAGTTGCACTGAGTTCTAAGGAAGTTGTACTAAAGTATACATCTGACATGTGCATACTAAAATCCAAATCTACTTACAGAGCTGTTAAGACTATTGTTCATCCACCTACCTTTAACATTATGTCCAGAATAGAGTGCTTGTTTTTTTCTTCAGTTTTCATGCCATTGTCTGTGGATTAATTTAAGCGTCAGGTCTTTGGACTAGTTGTCCAAAGTGCAAACGCATGGGGAGTATGGTAACAAGCAATAAGCTTGGATGATTTATATTTTTATATCTAGATAGATAGATAATATAATAAATAATAATAAATTAAATAAACGCTATTAATAAAATACTATATAATAAATAATTATAATATATAGAATAAATATAGCTATTAAAAAAAGAAAGAAATGTATTTACTGGTTTTGAATGTATAAAAGCTCAGTAAATTCTCGTAACTGGCAGCTCTCAGCAGCACAAGAGCAGGTTGCCTCTGTAAAGCTGTTCTGATAAGCTGCGTCAATACTGGGTAGAAGACCCAGTCTAATTCCACTTACATAAAAGTAATCGTTGAACTCAGTTGATCAGTTTAAAAGCAGATTATACAAAAGTGTCAATTTCTGTTCTTTCCTTTCACCTAGGTATGCAACCATATATACTATGTTTCCAGTCTTCTCTCTAGTATTGGATCAGGATGTGAAGCCAGAAATGGCATTGCTATATCCAGAACTTTATAAGGATCTCACAAAGGTATGAATGTCCTTAGTGCTTGGATTATGAACAAATGGGGAAATCTCAGTTGTGCAAAACTGAGAATTCTTACAGCAGTTTTCTTAACGTATTCCATGCAAGACAGGTGCACAACTAATGTAATGCAGACTTTTGTACTATGAAAATTAGCCATGGTACCAACTATTCCATTTAGTTTAGTTAATACATTTGCTAAGACACCAATAGTTGGACTGAAATAAACATGAAGGTATGTTGATGTAAAAGTTGCTTTCAGTCTGGCTGCAGGATCTCTGATCTAGAGTTATTTATGCTTATTTTTTCACAGCTCCTTTTTCCTTTTTAGCTGGTAGATTAATTTTTTCCCCCATAACCCCCAGAAATTACTGCTGAACTCTCCAAAAGTTGACTGACTTTAAATAGTGGATATCGATAATGATGTATCTTAGCTGAATCATCTGTAGATACTGCTTTCTGTGTATTTGCACATACATGCAAACAATGAGAGTGTGTAATTACTTCACCCACAAAAGTGAAACAAATATCAAGATTCTGTTTTCATAAGTTTTTTGAGAAGTGCTGCTACTCTGACTTAAACTGTCAGCTAGAAAAATTACAATCCAAGGTAGAAGCCGACAGTCTTTTTAGGGATAGTAGATTCTTTGAAGATGTGTCTAAAAGTTCAGAAGCAGACTGTAGCTGGAGAGGGTCCAAACTTTGCAGATCCTCTGTCTTTTTGAATGTTCTAAATTGGCTATCAGCTGTGTTAGTCTGGGAGAATTTTTTCTCATCTCTTAGAAATCTTGATTCTCTCTGTTTCAGAATTTTTAAGGTTTCTTTTTGAGATTTCAGCCTATGATTAATCTGAAAAAAACATGACCATACACCTGTTAAATGCAGTTGTAAGCTTAACTATGGAAACCTGTTGATGGTTAACCTGTACTCAGAAACTGCTGAGGATGGGTGGATGACTACAGGCTAAGTTTTTTGTTTAGGTTTAAATGACAATTCTTGGAGATTGTAGAATGGTTTGGGTTGGAAGGGTCTTAAAGCTCATCTGGTTCCAAACCCCTGCCATGGGCAGGGACACCTTCCACTAGACCATGTTGCTCAAAGCCCAATCCAACCTGGCCTTGAACACTGCCAGGGATGGGGCAGCAACAGCTTCTCAGGGCAACCTGCTCCAGTACCTCACCACCCACACAGTGAAGAACTTCCTAATCTCCGATCTAAATCTCCTCTCTTTCAGTTTAAAACCATTCCCCCTTGTCCTGTCACTACAAGCCGTTGTAAAAAGTCCCCTTCCAGATTTCTTCTAGACTCCCTTTAGGTATTGGAAGGCTGCTGTCAGGTCTCCCTGGAGTCTTCTCAAGGCTGAACCACCCCAACTCTGTCAGCCTGTCTTCATAGCAGATCCTGAATCATTGGCTTTCCCAGCTTACATTGCACCTCTGTGAATATTAAAGAAGTAGAACCCAAATAATTCTCTTCAGAAAAAAAAAAAGAATGTGGAGAAACTGGAGAGTACAGTTCAGTGCATTGTCGGGAAGATGATCACTAAATGATTATGGATGAGTAGTACAAAAAGTTATTTATGTGCTATATTTGACTTCACTATTACAAGGTAATCTTATTATGAGTGATTATGACAACTTATGATCACACTGCCTTAGTCAACATGACACTGAAGCCTACGTATTTTTGCACATAACTTTTCAAATTATGGACTCTAAATGCGAACCTCTACCAACGCTATTCAGCTAGTGTTACTCAAACACATGCTGGCGTGGACTATAATTGTATTCCTAGGAATTGGCTTCTTTTCTGGGATATGCTAGTGATGAAAATGCCTTTCAGATGTTTAAAAGAATAACATACATTAACACAAGTCATTGACACTCCAGTGCAAGAAGAGAAAATTGGCAAGGTTCAGAGAGACAGGTTTGGACAAATACCCTGCAGGACACACTGATTCAGTATTACTGTTACTGTGGCTTCTACAGAGTTATAGCTAGAAAAGCTGATGAAAATTTGAAAGGTAAGAGGGATCCCTGCCTTCATCTGAAAATGATTCAAAGCCTGTTGTGCAGCATTCTGTAGAAGCTCAGAAGAGAATTCCCCTTCTAGTTCCATAAAGGTGAACCAAGTCTCTTATTTCATAGATCTTAGTAATTGGGAGCTATGGATGAAGGTGGAACCAGTGTCCAGTACTCAAAGGAAAATGACTAGACATCCACAAGAGAAGATAAAAAAATAAAATGTTTCTTTGTGCTTGTACAAGAATTTTTTCAGATCTTTTCAGTCTATCACCAACATTTTAGACTATATACAGCATTATGAAAATATCTTTAGCACCTTGCCATGAAACTCTCTCTATCCAAAAATGTATTTTAGCCTCAACTGAAGTAATAGAAAGTTAACTCATCACTTTCTACAGCAGTGAAGCACATTTAATTGTAAAGTGCTGATTCTTGCCTGTTCTGGATTGGCCACTTCATTTGTGGCAAAATGGTTGCTTCGACTGCCATTTTATCCTTCTAAATGTGTATCCTTCCAACTGTGTGGTTCTACCGTATTTCATCAGCACTCTCACAGAATGCAAGAGTCAGATGCACATGTACAGCGTTTATTCTTTGATTTATGTTTCAATCTATAACATTCATAATCACAAAAAGATTTAAAATGTAACTATTACTAAATAGTTACTTACTGAAAACTTAGAGTAGTCATATGTTTATAGTATGACTGCAAATAGACAGTTTATCCAACATTTGGAGTGACTAGTAACTACAGTTTTGTTTGAGGTTTAGGTCAGTAGATACAGGTACACAGTGCTATTTTTCTTGAAGAGCGCATTTTACAAAACAGACATAAAACTGTTTTAAATAAAAAATTAATTTTACTGTAATTATCCCTCTGAAAAACAGCCAGAGCACTGCAAGCTAAAGTATCTTTGTTGTTTAAGGCCTTAACTGTCCTACCCCCAAATTTAGACTTTGTGCAATTTCTGTACAAGTTTGCAATGAAGAATCATAAAAACAAGTAGAAGGTTTTTAGCCTATGCCACTTCAAAGACACCTTATTTTACTTGTAAAGTGTCTCTCTAGTAATTAACTATTAAAAATATATGAACTGAGTAGATTAATTTATTTTTTTTTTTTAAGTCGTGTCTAATTGTCCTCTCACTTGTTTCCCTTAGGGAAGATCTTTGTCATTTAAGACCTTCCTCATCTGGGTTTTAATCAGTATTTACCAAGGTAGGAAAGAGTCCTAATTTTACTTAACTGAGAATTTTTTGTCTGCTATTACCAATATTGTTTTTCAGCTGCAGGTTGAATTCCCAAAGCTTAACATTTCATGAGCAGTTATATATATTGGTTTCTGTTTATCTTGTAAATCGATATTCCTGTAGTGTGCCAAGCCTATTCAAAACACGGCATGGACTTGTATTTTTATTGATGCCTATCACCTAAAAAAAAATGACATGTTTTTAATTAAATGCTAATCCAAAATAACTTTAATGAGTGCTTATGACATTGTATATATTTATACAGTAGTTTTCTTTCATGGCATGACAGAAGCACTGTTGAAGAAATCTGAATTACGTGATCAGTTAAAAGTAATTACACTTTCAACAATATCTCATTTATTTGTAGCACTCGACAAAATGAGGTTAATTAACAGTTCATCAGATATATTGCATCTAAAAGGTGTTTGATTTTGTGATAGTTTTATTTCTTTACAGCTTTACTTTGGTTGTTTTGTTTCACGTGCACCAAGTACAGTAAATATCATTTCTGTTCTTTTAGAAAGATCAGTTTTGTTACCTTATAAAAAATTACTGGGCAGTTTTCATAATAAGCAAACAACTGTTATGTGTGCAGCTGTAAAAACTGGTACACTGAAATTTCATTGCACAGTGTATTGATAACTTTGTGTGCCTTTCCTAGGTGGTATTCTGATGTATGGAGCTCTGCTGCTTTTTGAATCTGAATTTGTACATGTCGTTGCCATTTCCTTCACTGCCCTAATCTTGACTGAGCTCTTGATGGTTGCACTGACCATACGAACATGGCACTGGTTAATGGTGGTGGCTGAATTTCTCAGTCTTGGCTGCTATGTGGCCTCTCTTGCATTTCTAAATGAATACTTTGGTGAGTAATAGTGGAAGTATTTTAGTAAAGAATTGTTTTATGCTTTTTTCTCTTGTGGGTTTGTTGGGATTTTTTTCATTAAGAATAAGTGATGTTATTATGCTTTGTGAAAAAACAGCTTTCTCTATAAGAAATGAGAATGAGTTGAAATTAAGCTTAATGTTGGGTTGTAATATTCTCTTATCCTTTCCTCCTAGGGTTTGACAATCTTTATTCCTGTTAGTATGATTTATCTAAAGCTTACTCAAACCATGCATGCTTTTCCCATCCTTGATCTGATCTTGAAATGGATATGATTTTCAAAAATCAAGATCTTTCGCTGAGGTGGTGAATTATTTAGCATGCCAGACCAACAGGACCTCATTAGGTGTAATCCACAAGCTTAAAAGAGCTGAAGTATTGCTGGAGTGTGAGGCAGAAGCCTATTGGGATAGATGCTTCATATAAGAATCATTGTTTCATAATTACAATGAGCTTATATTAAGCTTGCTTTGCTTTAAATTGCTGTATGCCATGCTGCATCTTAAGGTTGTGATTGTTCATAGGTCACAAAATGAAAGAATACTTTTTAACTGCAAAACTTAACAGTCAAAGATCTGAGCATCAAAATAATACATATTTCTTTTTATATCAAATTATCCTTCAGCAAAAACAACTATCTCAGTGTGATTTTACAAATCTAACTTTTACAGAAATACGTATAATGATTTTTATTATACCTCACAGGAGCAGAATCCAGCTCCTTCTCTTTGTGTTTTCCAGGAGCAGGTGACTTAGGTGCTGCCCTTCTTCAATTGTCACTTCTCATAGCAGGATTAAACTTTATATAGTGATTTCTAGGAGTCTCATAGTTCTGCTTTTACTCTCTCGTGTCCCAGGTGTTCAACACTAGGGTAGTATATTTATATTACTATTTTTCTTCATCAGTAGATGTTTCACTGCCTGTCCCAGGTGTTCTGTTACTTCCCAAATTTCTCGAGAGTAAAATTTTAATGAAGAAACAACCCTGCTGGACTTGGTACTTGTATTGTACATTATTTCAGGTTTGCCAGAGTACATTTTTCTTTTCTCAGACACTGATGCACAGACTTTTTAAACAGAAATTACTGGGTTGATTCCTCAATCTCCATGGCCAGATTACAAATGATGTGGGTACTGGCTCTTTAGTCCAAACTTCCAGGAACTTTATAAGGCAGAACTTGCTGCTTTATCTTTATAAGTCTTTAGTATTGGTGACAGGCAATCCTTCCATCCTTTGTAGGTGTTCAGTGAGAAACACTGTTAGGTGGTATTCATGAATGTGTAAAAACTGCAGGGACTTTGTTTCTTGCAAACTTTTTTGTAAAGGGGAGTGCTTTACTGTCCTGATGTATTTGCTGGACAAGTCCCAACAGCTGAGTACATAAATGGTTGTGTGGCTTCTTGCAGCCTGGGGACTTAATTTCTGTATTTTTCATCATTAAGGTTACTGAAAAGGGTGCCATTTCATGGGCTTTTGTAAAGATGTATTTTACTGTGTGTTATTCAGCAGTTAATCTGAGAATGCATTTCAGCTAGTCTCACTGTTAATGCTTTACTCTTACTTTATCTGTCATATTACAGCTGGGTGAGAGAGCCTTTTTTTGTGCATGTAATGTAGTATAAACTTAAGCGATGGTTTACAGTTCAAGGTACAGCACAACTTCATGCACCAGGGAAAACAATCCAGTCCAATAGTGCTTGACTTCATCAGCAAATAAACTGTTTCTTTCAGTGATGTTACTTATTAAGCATCATCTCCTCCCAAAGAAATGATGCCGTAAGTATGACAGGGCACTCAAATTAGAATTACAGAAGTATCTGATACTGCTCTACAGCTCTGAGTCATGAAAGTAAATCAGTTTTCAGGTTTCTGAATTAATTGCAGTCAATGATTGTATTAGGCACGTCTCTGAGATATGTTATATAGGCTTTTAGTTTGTCTAAGCAGGCTTAGGCTAAAACTGTGTAACAAGTTCATACGCTGAAATCTAATGTAAAAAGTATTTTTAATGAGTGAGGTTGGAGCAGTAAAACCTTACTGCATTTTCTGAGGTGAATTTTAATTTGTATTAAAACAGTTCATCAAGTTGTTTACACAGTAAATTACACCTTGAAGTCAAATGCAAGAAAACTTCTTACCTACTTAGGCTCTTAAAACATGACCAAATAGAAAATCTGTTTTCAAAATGTTTGGCTTAATTGCTGTTTAAAATACTCTGGTTGTCATGTGAAAGGCAATAATATTCCAGTTAATGCTACTAACATATTTTCAGTTTCCTTTTTGTGTAGCTAACCTGGTTGGTTGGTTGGTTGATTGGTTTGTTTTTTTGTTTCCACATAACTTTTGTATCTTCTGTAAATCTATCCTTTAATTTTCATTCTCCCTCTTTGTGAAATAGGTATAGGCAGAGTGTCTTTTGGAGCTTTCTTAGGTAGGTGAACTTTGACTTTTCTTGAAGTTTAATTCTTTAAAAAGAGTAGTAAATTATTTAATATACACATTTGTAAATAATGGAAAAATAAAATAAATAAAAAACAAACCAATTCTTCAGGTTACCTGGGTTCTGCGATCTTTCCCTGATAAGTATGACCTGACCCTTGCAAATACTGTCAAAGAAGAGTATCACCATTCTTGTTAATGTCTGTCACAGAAAAAATAGCTTTTAAGTGTGGCTTATGGCAATATTACTACATTGTTTTCCCCTTAAATTTTTGGGCTCTAATTTAATCTCTAAGGTTTTAAGAATCATTCAGTCTAATTGTGACTGATTCAGAGAAAAACAGTCTGAATATGGAATAAAGGATCCAAAATGGTAGCAGATTTTCTGGTTGGGAACTTGTATTATAGTAGGTGAAATCATTCGTACTAGCAGAAAAGTAAGCTGACTTAACTTTTTATTATGAGAAAGTTGCTTTTAAACTGAGATTGTGTTTCCTCTAACATTATTTTGTGCTACAAAATAGCATAAGAACCATAAAGGAACTCTGAAGTTCCTGTCTAAAGAAAATAGTTGGCAAAAACAAAATGTTGAGGGTAACTTTCTCTTGTTTTGTTGGTTGTTTGTTTTGTTTTGTTTTAATTTTGCATGGTCTTGAACAATAGAATAAGCAAACTATTAACAGTTCTTGACTTTGCACTATGGAAGTCCCAGTTTCCAGGTTACCAGCTCCTATTACTTATTTTCCCTTTTTTGTTTCTGCAGATGTTGCCTTTATCACAACTGTGACCTTCCTGTGGAAAGTGTCAGCAATCACTGTTGTAAGCTGTCTTCCACTTTACATTCTCAAGTACTTGAAGCGCAAATTTTCTCCCCCAAGTTACTCCAAGCTTACCTCGTAAAAGTAATTGTATCCCAATGTTTTTTCACTCGCACCAGTCTGCAAATTGAACATTCACTGTGCTTTAATGTCTATGGATTTCTGCTGGACTAAAGAGATTTAAAAAAATAAGTGATAAAGTGAATAGAGCACAAAAAGAGGAGGAAACATCTGACAGGTACAATAACACAGACAGACATACACTAACAGGACTATCAGAGATAAACTAAATTTTCTTCATGTTGATTTTTTTTTTTTTTTTTTTTTTACTTTCAGTTGCTATGATTATAAAATAAAACTGAATTACTTTTGATTTGACAATGCTTCTGAATGGTTTCATTGCTACTGTAAAGGATTTTTTCCTACTGTACTAATATTCTGCAAGTTGAATTGAAAATTTCGCTATTTATTACATAACTTCCCTTCTTTAATTATTACATAACTACCTAATTCGAGTCATTTCCTTTAATGTCTATATATGGAAAAGTTCATTTGTCCATACTTACTATAACACACCTAATACCTGTAAATGCCCGTGTCTGTGTTAGCAGCTATTATTCCTCATCAGACATTGAGTAATATGCACTATTTGAATTATGTACAGATGTCTGCATAGCACAGTATTATATTAGGAGCTGTTGTCCTATTCTGTACTCTGCATTTCTGGCACCAGTTAATTACAGATCTGTGATGCTGACAGCAGTTCTTTAAAATGCACATTACAGCCAGGTTGCACAAAAGCTGTTTAAAAGTTCAATGATAAATTCTGTACATAATTCCACTGCACCTATTGATCTGTACAGATATCAAAGACATGGCTGCTCAGTAAATATGTTTTAAAATTCTTATTCATTTTGTATTTGTAAAACTGCAAATAGTGTCAAAGTACATTTATATATATGAGAAGTCCAGTAAACCTTGTATTAGCTAATATGTTTAAATTGCCTTGTGATCTGTTTACTTAGGTTACTCAGGTAAAAGAAAATAAGACAAACACACGAACATTATGGTAGGAAAATCTATCATCTTCCAAGTTATAAATGTTTTGTTTTTATAACTTAGTTTGGGTGCAGACTTGCTGAAAAAGAAAATCAAAACATTCTTGCTTGTTGTAGAATGTCAGAGTTGAGTATTTTGGCTGTTATGACACTTTACAGCAGTTGAAGATTTGTTCCAGAAACTCATGTACTCTGATACAATCTGAAGGGTCCAAATCTTGCATTCTGTACTGGGAAGTAAGATATATTATTTTAGCTTTCCATCATGATAAAACTTTGCTTTCTCAAGAAGTACATATAATGAAGTTGGCATAGTCTATTAATCAGTGGAAAGGAACAGCATAATTATCCATGCTTTATTGATTAAATCTCTATGTGTGTTTTTAAGAAACACTTAATGCGGATGTCGTTTTTATGTTTGACTGTATGCCTTTACAGCCTAATTCCTTGTTTAGTCTCGTATAACTTTGCCCATATGCCATTATTATATTGGATGAGTAATATTTAAGTTATAAATATAACTACTTCCTGGGAGAGCAGAGGAAACTGCTCAGAGCTATTTGGACTCCACCCCGCTCCATTAATTTTTGTTTTGAAAGCTTTTCTTACTAGCTATTTATCTTCTTTTTTTTCTTTTTTCCTTCATTTTCATTCCTCATTATAAAAGCAATAAAGCCTGATTTCTACCAAATATTATTAATGGTATACATCTTAAATAAACTACTGAAGTAGTGTTTCTTTTAATTACACAACATTGCAGACTAGTTTACTCTGTCCCTCTGTAATCTCACTTCTGCGAAACTCCCACAAGATGTCACTGTTCCTGCATACTAGCAGAAGCCTTTCTTCATTTTATGTGGTTTTGGCACAGTACTGCTGGTTTGTATTTTTAGTTGAGTCCTGTGATATTTTTGTTGCTGATTTCCTTTAATTTTCTATTTCTCCACAATAAGTGGTAATTACTTTTAATCGATTAAGAAAAGCCATCAGTGTGCAATTATTCTGAAACATGGATGATGTTTTCTTCAGACCTTTTTGTCTTAAAACGTTGTGAGCTCACAACCATACGCGTAAGGTTCAGTAGATAAGCAAAAGCTTAGAGCTGGTCATCCTTCATCTATACATCGCATCTTTGACATTAGGCAGAAGATGAGTAAAAATCAGAAATTAAACTAGCAATATGAAAGTGATAGCTGTATGAGATAGTGTACCCATATGTGCAGAATTTATAGTGTACGCATATTAATCCTCAGCATTAAAACTGTGAGGTTAGTGTGATTGCAAATGTATAGATCCTACACACAGATACATGCCTTTCCAAAGAGGAGTCAATTCTCTAGACTGCCTGCTTTCTTAGAATACTTCCAATATTCAGCAAAGGTCTAGTTTCATCTAACACTTTATTTTGAAGACTGAAGAAGTCTGATTCAGGTGGCTTACCTTGCTTTTGAGGTTCAGTCACTGTTAAAACTATGTATACCAGGAAAGTCTGCTTTTTCTATTCATTCATGTCACTCAGCCACAGCCCTGTACACAGGTAGTGCTACCTTATCACAGTGGTTTACAGCTAACAGTATCAGTATAGAATTTAAGAATTGTAATATGACATCTTTCAGTAGAAAACTTTACTGTATTGTGGGCTTCAGTACAAAGTAAGCTAAGTACCAGCACAATCTCTGTCTCTTAAAACACATTAGAATGGTAACATTTCAGGTGTACAGTTGAATAAATTCTTTTTTAAGAATCTAATTCTGTGATTGTTTTGCATCAGTGTATGTCAGGAATAAGTCTGGAGCACCAGATCAGCTCACATAAATACAGATTTAGGCCTCGGACCTGCAAGTTATACCCACAAGGACCCTAATTTTATTTGGTATTAAATAAATATTTACTTTTGTGAGCTGCTATGTCAGATAGCAGATGTATTTCTGAAATGGTAATCATGTTTCCTTGAAAACATTCTTGGAAACCAGTTTCAGAATTAGAGCAGCAGGATGTGAATAGGAAATACATCTTCACTAAAGTAACATACGTAACAATACTGGCCTATTTGGATCGTGTTTAATAAGAATATGAGCTAAACATCTGCAACATTTCCTATATAGTTTGATAAAAGAACACAATGAAAAGGAGAGATCCTGCAGAATACTAGTACTGGTAATTCTTATCTTGGTTTCTTACAATGCTACTCTAAACTTGCATGTTCATGTGACTGCTGGAAGACATTTTACTACATAAGATACTAGTTTGCAAATGGAAGCCAAAATTAAATCTTTGCATACTTAACATTAAATCTGTAGCACTCTTCCATGAATGTGAATGTTTACAACAGTGGGTTTACGTTCAAACTGAGCTTGCTGACACATGCCATCAGAATTAAGCTGTGTGGTATCTCCTGCTTTCTTCCTAAATTTGAGTGGTTGTCCAGAAACACACCATTGCTTTTGTACGTACATAGGAAGTGTGTATTATCTTAATGGTCAGCATCCACTTGAGCCAACCTGGATTATAAAGGTCCTTGTACCCTGTGTCCACAACATTTTTCAGTCTCCTTTTTAAAACGTCTTTAAGAAGGGCCATCAGGAACTTTTTCAGACTGGACACCAGTTCTGCAGGAATTTAAGCAAGAATTTTAATATTCACATATGTAGTTAAACAGCTGTTAGTCATGAGGGTCACTTTCTGTAAATGAAAAGGCGATGATTTCCTTAGGCGCATTTGTGCATGTTAGTAGGCCTGTGTAGTATAGTCTCCATACTCCTCTGCAACCTTATTGCTGTCTCAAGGCATTCAGATTACTTTAAGGAGGAACTGGCCCCAGGTCTTCTGCTAGGCAATGTGTTCCTGGGATCATCTTCCACCCCTGTGCTGATGCACACCTCTGCCTTGCTCGTACAGGGTATACTGCAGGGCACCTTCATCACTGGAGGTTGGGGCTCTTCATGCCTGATCCACCTTTGTTTGTGTATTTACCACATGAATGATGGTGAGTCAGGCTGTATAGACTGCCTTAGAGGCATTCAAGATGCACTGTTAACAAAGACACTCCTAAGTGACCTCTTTTCCCACTTCTGCAGAGCTTTATATTCATGGGTTTTATGTTGGCAAGATAACACAAAGAGGCTTGCATCTGTTTCACACTTGCATTCCTTTACATGTCCAGAGGTATTCATGTGGCTCCAACAGCCCCTGCAGGGCAAAGAAGTTTAGTCTAGAGTATGCGAAGTCTGGATGGATAGTACTCCTTAAAAAGCAATAGCCACAGGAGGAGAGGTGACTGTTCTGCTGGCACTACTGCTGCAAAAACTTCTGCTGGAGCCTGCTTACTCTTGACATCCATTTGAATTTCAGCTTCCATGGAGTTTCTCCTTATTTTTACTGGCTAGAGAGGAAAGAATTGGGCCAGCAGTCTCTTATAATGCTTAATTTAATAACCTTTCCTCTTTCTAGGCTGTTATTATTATAACTCAATTGAAACTTGAAGGCAATCAAAAAAGCCCTTCAATATGTTAGCCCCCTGTAGGGAGGAAAAGCAGTACGAGTGAACAAAGACAACACAGCTCGAACATTATATGAAAATAAACAGGAGGTGCAATATCTTTAACACTTTGTTAAAAAGCATAGGAATTCCTTTTGTAAACAAAACACACTTAAAGTGTGCTACTTCCCAACAAGTATTAACTATCCAACAGATGCCCTCAGCAGGGTTCACAGCTGTTATTGTGAGTGGAAATTTGCTCAGCCAATTGCTGACGAAATCCTTCTCAAACAGGGAATTGCACTGAAAGACCTATTTGCTACTTCATCAACCAAAAACATAGTTTTGATCAAAATGTTTTACAGCAGAGGTTGTGAAAACCGGATGCCTTGAACAGAATGAGTGCTTCACAGCTGGGTTGACAATTCTACTTCATTCTCCTATTCCTGACCAGGTTTTAGCCGAAGTGTAGCTAAGATTTCTCCTGATGGTTGTTTCCTCCTGTCCTCCAGCATGTTTTCAACTTGAGATCATAATCAGCAATGGTAAACCTCTAAACTGCTCAGAAAAAAGTGGGTTTGAGGAATACTTAGTCTTTTTGTAGTACCGAGCTGTAAGAAAATTTGTCATCTGCTCTAAGAAGAGGAGATACTGTTTTCTATAACTATGATGTAAGTATTTATGGCCCTGCCTTTATTCTTACAGCAGTAAACTATTCCTCTTTTCTTGACAAAATGAAAAGAGCTTTGGTTATAATGTTCATGTAGCTTTAAGCAAGCAGTACACAAAATAGACCACTGTAATTCTTACTTGTAGAATTGCTTTCCATTGTTTCTCTATAATGTACACATCTAGTTTTTTCCATGGGCTCTCTGTGTTTTGCTCTGAGTTCTAAGCATGAATTTGATTTTGCAAAGTAAACACACATTGTGTGGAAGCAAATTATAGATAACTACTTCAAAAGTCTGTTGAAAATGAA